CCGCACTGGAACTTAAACCTATATGTATGTATGTATGCATATATGTATGTGTGTATATTTGGTTGGATGATGAACTTAGACATACATCTTGTCTAAACAAACGGATGTGATCCTTCTAGCTAGTAACATGGCTGCCAGATTCTCTAAGAACTCTTATGATGTTAAGCTTTTCTACTGGAATTAGCAAATATACATCGGACACGCATCCTATGGAAAACACAGAGTAGCTAGCTCATCAGTAAAATCATATCGATGCCATTGACGACTACTAATATAATATACTGCAACATATCTTAACGTGCGATATGATTTGTTTACTTTTATTTTTTAGGTTTCGTTTCAAGACATTATTGGACATGCAGTACCCTATATGCGTGTACGGGTGCTCTTGTCTCAACCGATGAATGAAGTTAAACCGCCCCTATCTTATTCTTAACACAACACGCCAAGGTAGGCCGATTCACCCTTTTCTTATTCTCCACTGATGATGATGTCAATCACAAATTGCACCAAATTTTTAAAAAACAAAAAGTGGCAATGTAATGTGTTAAGGTTAATATTATCGAATCATATCACTTAGTAATAATACATTAATTTGATTAAGTTCGGAATAAGTAGGGGTATAGGATGAAAAGTAGCGGATCGGAGTATATAGAACGTCGGTCTGATCTACACAACCTATCTTCATTTGAGACATCTTATCGACTTACTTGAAAAGCTTTGAAGACCTGTGGACTATAATACTTTGTTACAACTATCTTATACTGCGCTGCCAACTCTAGCTACGAGGCGAATCACCTTTAGACACGCCACATCTTGATCCTATTAAATCCGTTGTAACGGCTAAATGTCATCTGATCTATAAATATAACCTAAATGTGATCAGGAAAGGGACGTCATTATGCTCATTTAATTAATTTGAATACACATCGTTTCTAGACTCATCCTCGAGTGACCAAGAACCCTTTGTTTGTCTATTACTTTGTCATTTATACTTCTCGATTATCTGTTCAAAAACAAAATACTTCTCGATTATCATTTTGTACTTAGCCTACAGTCTATATTGGAATCTTATGTCACTAAACACCAATATAATGGACGTAATGCAACTTTCAAAAAATAAGAAACAAATAACAATGTGTCAGATGTATCAACTTATGTTATTAAACCCTAATTAACTTCTATAGTTCTATTATATTACATATAAGTTGATACATATTTGTATGGCTGTATGTTTAATTTGGATCCTATCTTTTGGTATATCATTGCTCAAAAGTATCAAACAATTGTTTATATAGTTAATGTTTTGTTTTTTTCTTCTGGGATTTTGTTTTCCTATTTATATAATTATTAATAATCATTTATTGACTCTCCTAATAATTGTCTGATTAATCTGTACTAATCCTTGTTGGAATTTTGCAGTTAAAGAATCTCTACTTCTCGAAATACATACCCATATTGTGTACGTTTTCTGTTATTTCTACTTGCAATAATTTGCAACCAATATAATTGAAGTGGTTGTCTCGCACATGCTGCGTTTGACTTGTGTCTTTAGGGTTTTTATTTATATATATTAGGTTTGACTGCAGATGATACAATATGATTTGTGAGAATTAAAGTATTCCATGGCCGTACATTCGATCATGTCGTCCTCATCATTTTCATTAATTATATTGTAAAGCATAATTAATCGTTAAATGTAAGTTAATACATGTAGAATAATTCATGTTTTTTTTTTCTTTTTTTTAAAAAAAAAAATCCATTGTCACTATTTGTAGGTGACTAGGCGGGCATGATAAATTACATTTTTGTGTAATAATCGTCTAAGCCACATAGGATAGATAAACAACATTATAAAAATCCTATGAGACGAACTCAATCAAGAAGGCATTGAAAAGAACCGAACTAGCTAGCTAGTAATTTTTAAATATGAAAATCGATAAAATAATTCATGTTGTAATTATTTTGTGTGTGTGTGTATATGTGTGTGTGTGGGGGGGGGGGGGGGGGGGGGGGTCCCACATATTTAACTTCAGCTAGTAGAGAAGATTGATGAGCTTGTGGCCAAAGTGGTGATGAGCCCGGAAAATAAGGCATTTTGAGGGAAAATAGGCTAGCCGAAGGGATTGGCCAAAATGCCCTTAAAAAGTGAATCTTCTTTGTTGAGTTTTGATGAGTTTTGTGGCTAGAACTAGAAGGACAAAAATTGAAAAGAAAATCCTTTCAAAAGAAATTGAAAAGAAAATGACAGTCGTAGTAGGATAAATGTGTCAACAACTATTGATGGTGTTACGTTTAATGTGACATTCTAGTTAATATTAAATCCTAAGCAATAAAAAGTAAACTTAAAAATCGAAATACTAAATCATAAATTCAAATTATTTTTAAGTGCATTACAATTTCAAATAGGCAAAAAATGCATAGTATAGTATTGAAAAGTGATTTTTAAATTTGAAAAAAATTGTCAAAATGGTTTTGTATTTTTTTTTTTTACCTCAATTCCTTACTTTAATTTAGAACTGTTAGATTTGACAAGATAAACAATTAAGGTTGGTTCTTAATTTTATCATGAGAACAAGTTCTCATATGATCATTTTCCTATATAATAATTAAATAATCACAATTCAATTTATTGTCGTATTATTAAAAAGAAAGTATAGAAGGTACGGTGTATAAGTTAAAAGAGGCAAGGGGGGCTTGGAATCTGCAAATTTTGTTGCTAACATGCACAGTTGTACTAACGCGTTTACTTGTTTGGAGTTTTGTATAATTTGGATATATATATATATATATATATATATATATATATATATATATAGTCGAGTTTAGGTACGGCCGCACCAATAGTTAAGCAAATATACACCATCAACGTTAGAAAATGCACTACAAAAACACACACAAATTAGATATACATCACCAAAAACAACCATTAGGTATGACTAAAGGCACCACACAGTGTTTGAAAATACACCATTAGTGGGAGTGAATTATATGGTGCATTTTGTATTTTTTAGTGTATTTTTGCATTTCATTATTGTGTGTTTCTCTTACACTATTGGTGTATTCTGAAAACTGCCGCACGACCGCACGGGTGGATCTTGCCGCATTTGAACTTTTTCATATATATATATATATATATATGCAAGTTGGTATCGTACTTATAATTAGTTGCGTGTCACGTGCATGCTTTGTCTAACTAACATAATTCTCGGCTAAACATATACGGACTAGGAATATAATGTATGTCATTTTTTTTGGTTCATTTTTCAGAGATCAGAAAGGGAAAGAGGAAGGTGTATCTGATTTCACAACGAGAGCAAAGCTTGCACACAATTTATATATTAAAAAAAAGACGTTAGTTAAAGTGAAAGATGTTTGAGTGTATATCTTGATCACTTTTGATTCTGTGAATACAATATTGTATGTATACATTGCGTACTGGACAAAGTAGTTACATGCATGCATGCATGATACGTCCCCACAGACCACAACTTGTTCAAATTTTTTTTTCATGCCCTACAAGCAACGTAACATGCATTATCTATCATATCAATAATTCTATCCAATATCCAAAATAATTGATAGCCCATTAGTCACCCAATTGAAGGCGTGATTCCCTTACCCATCATCAACTCCATTACCATTTGGATACTTTGATTTGATGTCAACACATAATCTACGCAAACGCAATACACTTTCACCTTGATGTATATATGATATACATTGCTTTAATTTTACGATTTGAAACATTGGGGTCGAAAAATTAAATAATATGGATATAAATATGTAATATGAACATATTATTTTATCCGTTTTAATATAAATATGTAGTGTATTTATCTATATTTTAGGAGAAGGACTAAAAAGCGAAATGGGAAGAAATTTCCAATTTGGAATAAATGGAAAGGGACATAGAGAGGGGGTGGGGGCTTTTATTAAATCAAAGAAACATTGACTGGTTGGGACACTGTTTGAAGTTTGATTTTGGTGTTCAAGTTGAAACATTTCCTGTGCCCAAGGAAAGATGGAGTCGTGCCTCTTTTAATGGTAAAAAGGTGCATTGAAGAAGATGACAACGAGTGGAGTTGGTTTGACACTTTGACTACTACAAGTCTACAACTACCTCTCTGGTGACATGCCTTGTTGAATTGGATAATGGATAACAAGAATATACTGGAATTTATATATATATTGTTTATTTTGGTGGCCATGGTTGAATACTTCGAGTAAAGGGTTCACACTGAAAATTTATAAGATAGAAGCAGGTGTGTAATATTATGTGTTAGACTATTGAATTGGATGAAATTTTTTTAGGTGAGAAGCTTAAGGAAACCTGTAATCACCATATGAAAATGTATACTAAGTAAATTCTGTATCTTAACCAGAAAAGAATCACAATAAGATAAACTAACTTAGGTTGCTTATAGTTGATAGGCTTGAATCAAGAAGGTCAATAGTCACTTGAAACGTTGTGGTTATAAAACCAAAAATTTTATTTATGACCTCAAGGCCAGTCTGTCTATACGTAATCGTGCAATCAATATATATATATTTTTTTTGTATGGATGAATTGGTTGGAATGTTGGGAGTTGGGACCATATATGTTGCAGCTGAGACAAGGTGTTCAGAGCATGAAAAAACAGATACCACAGGCCTGGAGTCTACGGTCTACCACACCGTCAAGCATCTATCTGCTCAGCCATCACTCTGTTTTTCTTCTTTGTTCAATTGCTGCCTTGTGTTTTCTGGACCAAACTACTCAATTGTTGTTTTACTTTTAACATCACCAAACGACATTGCCCACTCATGTCCTTATTCAACACACACTCCCATCCCCCAACTAACATCCACCTCTTTCTTACTACTTTATCTTCTTCTTCTTTAAATATCGAATAATAAAAATAATAAATAAATAAATAAATCATGCCTTTTGGGGCATGTAGATAATGATGATAGAATACCCTTCCTTCGCCTACTGTTATGCAATTAATATCAGTTGCAAAAAAAAAAAAAAAGTTTATTAATAAAGAATACAATTTTGAGGTCCATTCAAAACAGCTTTGTTCCAGTACCCAGAGAACGAAACCATTAGTTGGAAGGTAAATGAATAAGAAATACAGTGATTAAGAAAATCTTAATAGGGGTATCTGCGAATGCCACCAGCAGAAGATTGATACTCGGGCCGCAAGCCAACAGAATGGTATTCAGGCAGTGATCTTGAAATAGCATGGTACTCTGGAAGTGAGACTCCTGCAGAACGGTGGGCAGTTGGTTGCTCTACGGAATAGTATTCTACTGGCAAACCTGCTGAGGGAATACTTTGGTACACAGCTTCACCGCGTCCTAGGTATGAAGCATGGGGATCATAGTTTGCGATCTCATAAGAATAATGACGCTCTGGTTTGGGCTCTTGTCTGTAATAATGACGACGATCTATCAATATATCCTGAGGCTCTTGTAGCATGTCACGTCTATAAGGATCATCTCGTACTAGTAAGGGCCCTCTTCTGTAAGCATCAGTTTCCAATGGTCTTTCATAGACATAAGGTTGAGCAGAAGCAAGTGGTCGTAAAGTTAGAAGGTGAGACCCTTGAGCCACTGGAGCAGGTGGTAAAGGTTGAAGGTGATCCATTGCAGCAGGTGCAACCATATCCTTTTCATAGTGATGGGAATACTCATGGTACCTGTGATCCCTCACTGGAGATCGTCTCCTGTCTCTGTCAACCCCATATTTTCTGCTCCTATCTTGCTTCAAGCCTCTTTTTCTCTCTGGTTTGAGACGTCTAGCTTTGTCAATAACCTCGCGTTTCCCAGTACTATCTCGCTCAACAACTCTCTTGCTCTCTTTTTTGAGACGTCCCCTCAACTTTTTGGATGTGGAGCCTCGACTATCAGCTGTGAAAAGTTTGCACAAGTCCTTGACCTATATTGAACAGTTAGGATGCAACCAGATTAATGGAAAACACAACTCCCATAGTTTTAAAATTTAGATGTTTTACCTGTTCAGAGGTCAATTGGCAATTAAACTTCATCCGTGTGTAATAGTTCTTTTTTATTGCCTTCTTAAAGATCTCCTCAGCCAATGGCTTGCAATCATCCACAACCATAAATCGTACCTGAATGATTATCAAGTAACAATAATAAGTTGGGAAGTCAAATGCAATTCATAATTTCTTTTAATACAATAATCCAAGATAATAAGTACCAATTCCATTGCTCAAGCATCTTCAAACTACAATCAAATTTCATAATGCAATGAAAAGCTATGATTAAATGATTTCTGTAGCACAATCTCAAAACAGTTCAACATAGACAAGTAAATGGCTGTTAGCTGATAGGTGTTAGCTGTTAGCTGATTGGGTTAATTAGAGGGTATAACTAGTTGATAACATTAGCTGATTGGGTTAATTAGAGGGTATAACTAGTTGATAACATTAGCTGATTGTAGAAAGGTGTTTGGTAAATTAGCTGTTAGCTGTTTGGTATAATTTCTTTTCTCAAAAAGCTAATTGAAAAAGCTGCTCAAAGCAGCTTTTTGAATTTTAGCATTTTGGAGTTGATTTTTTAAGCAAGTCAAACAATTAATAGTAGTCAAATAAGCCGAAATTGGCTGATAGGCTAATATTTTACCAAACAAGGCCAAAGACATTCATGTAAATATGTAATGCAGACTATATTAAACAGTCTTTTGTGATAAAATCCTTTGTTGTTCCTACCACAGATTTTCAGCTTTAGTAGTGTTTACTCTGATATAAAGTTGAATCACTACCTCCCCTAGTGCTATGCTGTGTTCTACACTGAAACATAATTTTTGTACATCAGGCATAATATAATAGAACTGTGGCAAACATACTAACCTGAGATGGAAACTGAGACTTGAAAGCCTTGGGTTCAATGTTATAACCACCAGGTCCAGTAGCTTTATATATCCCATACATCAGTTTCAAATCAACATCATACAAAAATAGTCTCATTCCCTTATAAACATTTTCGACCACTTCTCTCTTGTTTGCAGGCAATCCTAGAATATTGTAGCGATAGCAATCCTTCTTTGTTTCCGAGTTGCACATAAATATCAACCCTGCACTCTCAGCCTTCTTTGAAGGCCTCTTCCTGTGGGATGACTCTGGCACATCTTTTCCTTGTGGAGCTACATTCTTGGAGCCTAATAATGCTTCACCTTTAGAGACTCCTTTCTTCAAGCCATGGCCATCTTGACCTTTCAACCCAACCTTCAAAGACTCCTTATTATCACCATTAGAAGTCATTTCCTCTCTGCACATCTCCCCTCCACCTTCAGAGGCCACTTTTTCCAATACACTTTTTTCCAGTTTCTTTTTCTTCCCCCTTTTTCTTTTCCTATACTTAGTTAGCTTCTGCTTCAAACTTTCTTCTACCTTCTTTTTATTGTCTTCTTCAGTATTTTCTTCACCATTACCTTGTTCCATTACAACTTCTCTAGTACCATCATCCTCACATAGAGCATCTCCTTCATTTTCTGCATCCTCCTCAGCATTAGAGGGCACTTTCTTCTTCTTTTTACCTTCAGAGGAAAATTTGTTCAAGGAGCTTTTCAACAAACCCTTCCCTCTTTTTCTTTTTCTTGACTTAATACACCTCTGCATAGGGCTTTTTTCTACTTTCTCTTTATTGTTTTCTTCAGTACTGTGTTCATTGTTTTCCACTTGCTCAGGTGACACCATACATAAAGCCTCTCCTTCATTTTCCTCATTTGCAAGGTGTTCTTCCTTTAGCTCATCCTCATGATTAGCTTCCTCATTACCTTCAGCATCCTCTTCATTGTTTTTTGTACTTTGTTCATGTTCTGGTTCCCCAATTATACATGCTAACTTGCCTTCTTCCTTTAGAATATCTTCTCCATCACCTGTTGCCATTTCAGCTATGTACTCACCATTAGTTACTTCCTTCAAAGCATTTCCTCTGTCATCTATTTCATAGTAACCTACATACTCTCCATCCCCTTCATTTGCTATTGTGTTTTCATTTATCCTATGAGCAGCTGTGTACTCTACATCCTTTAAAACATCTTCTCCATCATGTGTTCCAATATCAGCTACATCCTCTTCATCATATTCCTCTGTTATTTCATTTTCATCATTCCCGGAAACTACATCAAAAGAGACTGTACGGTATTCTTCTACAAAATCTTCATCCTCTACACCCATTTCCGTCTCAAGGGAGTCATTTGTCACCCGAGGACTGAGAGGACAAGATTCCTCAGCACCACCATCAGCACTAGGAAACGGAGCAGTTTTCCATCTTCGGTATGCCATCAGAAAATCGCTATAGTTTCTGAATAAAGGGCATTAATCATAAACTACAAACAGGTTCATCCGCTGACACATCTTGATACAGAAATATTTAACAAGAGGACTGTTGTTAGAAATCCAAGTCTATGATGGAGAATACTGTGCTAAACAAGCAAGCAGTACTGGTGAGAACCAGGAATATTGAGGGGAGAAAAATGAAAACAGAGGACAATCCAGTAAGTTGAAAGGCAGATTTGGGTAGCAACAAGGATAAAATTCTAGACCAAATCCAACGTCATCCTGATCAAAACACAACACATTCTAGGATTCTACCAATCGACATTGAAATTTCAGGCCCAAACCATACATCCACCAGGTGAGATACGCGAAAATTTCCAATTTCAACACAAAGGCAGGAAATTAGGTGAAACGCAAAATGTTAACAAACAGAAATCGATACAATTACGAAATCAATGACGGTATGACGCACGCTTCATTGAAAGAACTATTCTGCACAAGTAGTCAAAAGAATTATTCTAATTTAATCATCGTCGAAACCCTAAAATCATTACAGAAGTGCGAGAAAAAAAAAAAAAAAAGGCTGTAAAACAATAAATTTCTATAATCAATCAATTTCTAGATGACAAATGAAATGGATAGATCGAAGGAAAAGATTCAAAACCAAACTTACTTGAGCTATGGAAGATGTCGATCGAAGAGAGAGTGAAATTGTTGCGAAGTGGTGGGATTATAGACTTGTACGGTTGTACCATTAGGCTGAAAAATGGGGCTGCAAACAGCTGAGCCGAGCCACGAGCCTAGCATATTATCTTAGGAAAAATGACGCTTTTGACCCTCAATTATTTTACTTTTAAAAATTTGACCCCTATTAATTGATTTGAACAAGTTTAACCCTTTAAATGTTCATGATATATTTGATCACTCATATTATATAATTAAAATTATTTTAAATAATTTATATAATTTATTTATTCAAAATTAAAAATACTTTTTATTATAAATAAATACATAAATTTTAAAAAAAAAAAATTAAAAAATAACTTTTTACGAAAACGGAGACGGTCATGGCCGTGTTCATTGATGTTCTCATCATCCATGAAACAACATTAACCCCAATCAAAACAATTCTAATTAGATTCTCAAAAATAAAAAATAATAATAAAAACAATTCTAATTATATAACATGAGGGACCAAATGTGCTACATTATGAACAATTAAAAAGTTAAGTTTGTTCAAATCAATTGACAAAGGTTAAATTTTCAAAAGTAAAACAATTGAAGTGTTAAAAGTGCCGGTTTCCCTTATTCTTATATACTAGTTTTACATGTGTATTGTGCGAATTGGTTAATACCCAATATTTATATTTAAATAAGTATTCGAAAGTATATCAGATTATATAGAAAAGTTCATACATTTTTAATTGAATGTCAAATATGTTTATTTAAGTATGTAACTCAAAGTATATGAATGCAATATAATATACGAGCTGAGATTCATTATAATTGTCACTAATATAAATGTTTGTAACTTTGTAAAATTGATAGTCTAAAAACGATAGTCTAAATAAATACTATTTTTTGTTTGAATGTTAATAAGTATTCTTAATTCTCTTTTGAGTAGCATTGTCATTGCCTTCATCTTCACTGTTTGTCCTCTTTTTTTTCTTTTTTTCTTTTTTTTTTTTTTGTATAGTGTGTTATTTGCAATTGGGATACTATTGAATTGGTAGTATAGATGACAACGTGATGCAATGAGATTATGGTGTAGGACGCTGTGGATTTTTTATTGGATCTTAGTTGTACTATGAACTCTTGATCTTGCAATCGTTTGTTGATATTTTGCAGTGATAGTTTTTTCCCTACATGTTTCATGTATACGTATTAAATAAAATATTAATATTTATTATTTGTATAAGGTTCATGAATCATGAGTAGTACTTCCTATTATATTTTCATAACGTGTTTACTGGATAATAACAACAATTATTCTGTAGGTAGTTTGAATACTGATGCTACAACTTGTCCAGCTTCATAAATAATTTCCACATCTATTTTGCACTTGTTCATTTTCAAGTTCATAAATTTAGAATTAGTAAGAATGTGTGTAGTACTTGATTTTGTGTGCGTGTGTTTTTAAATTTTTTTTTTATTGAATTGATACTAATCTTGGAGTTAAATCATTTTACACTTTGTCGGTAAATTTTTTTTAAATAGTGACTACATCCTATATACCAAGTATTTTTGTTGTGAAGGTTGATGCTGATTTTGCCTGTAATCTAAGCATGTTGAGTCTAGAAGATTAAATGAATTGTAAATTTATATTAGTTCTAATATATTTAATGAATTCACAAGAAGTATTTTAGATACAAGATCAGTGAATAAATCAATTGTGGCTATTTTGAAATTCTTTTTTTTTTCTAGGTTTACCAAATTGATTTCAACATTGTTGTAGTCTCGACATCTTTTCAATGCATCAAGTGTGTTACAATGTTCTATTGCCCTACACTGACAGTTTTAATAATGAGTTTTAAATATAGCTACGTAATATAATGATATAATTAACATTAAGATTTACATATTATTATCAACATAAAAGCATACAAGTCCCTTTATGTGTTTTGATCATGGTTCATTTGGTTCAACAATTATTGTGGATTTATGGTTAAATAAATTCATAATTTAAGGAATAAGATTGATAAAGTAGTAAAAATTTAAACATTTTAAATATGATGTAGTTCAAAGATATTACGAAATAGTTTTACGCTTCAATTTGTTAGGTTATTTGAATACTCTCTTCGTCAACAAATCTCCTCAAGTAGTTAATATTTTTTTTTTTTCTGTAAACAGAAGATGGTGTAAAACCCGTGGGTGAGGACTAAGCGCCTAGCTATGCAAGGCACTAACAAACCACATCTGCACCAGCGTTATCCTCCCACAAAACGTCCTCAAGAATCTCCAATTTGTCCAGCAATTCTCTCGCCCCAAGCTCGTGGAGGAGGGCTGTTGCGGCAAGGCGATCTGCAGCCTTGTTCTGGTTTCGTGATATATGGTCAATCGCCAAGGCCTGGAAATGCTGAACCTCATGAACACAAAGCTGTAGGATGTTGCATCTGATGTCTTCCCCATTTCTTAAAGCGGAGAAGCTCTGAACGGTCCCCAGGGAATCACTTTCGATGATGAGGTTTTACACCCCCCATCTCGCTGCCATCCGCATGCCTATAAGAATCGCCCAGCGCTCCGCATGGTCAGCTGAACAGGAGCCCAGATTGCACGTGAAACCTCTCTCCCAATCTCCCTGGGAATTGCGCAGAATACCCCCGCAGCCTGCTTTAGATCTTGCGCCTTTGCAGCACCCATCCACATTCAGTTTTAGCCATCCGGTGTCCGGCCTCGTCCACAACCTCTGCACTATCGTGCTCCGGCTTACAGCTCTCCCCGGGCTCCATTTCCGTCGAAAAGCTTCCGCGATTTCCCTCCTCTGGGCATTTACCCAGGATATCTTTTGGTCCAGCGCTGTGCTCCGGCCGTTGAAGATCTTATCGTTTCTCCAGCGCCAACACCACCAAATGCATATGCCAAAAAATTCTGGCCAATCTTCTGCTTCACTTAAGCCGTGAGAAGCTCGAAGGTTCGCACTAAGCCAATGTTCCCAGTTCAAGGCCTGAACCGCCGCCCTCGCTTGTCTTCCTCAAGTAGTTAATATAATTGAGTTCAAACTATTTTATTTTCATTATATTAAATAAAATACTTGGTAAATAAATATATAACATTATTTTGGACATGTTTGGTAATTGCAGATCCACCAAAATTTTGACAAATCCACAATTTTAGCATTTTGACCAAAGTCAAAATGCTAAAATCTTTGTTTGGTAATTAAGCAATTTGTCACAACAATTTGCTCCCAATTGTCACCAAAAACCAAACCGCTACAAATGTAGCGTTTAACTTTACATTTTGAGATAAAATTTCCCAAAACATCCCTATATTTATTTATTTTTTTTTAAATAATTGTACTGGTAACCAGGCTCCTTTAATATAGAGCCATTTTAGCTCCTTACTAAAGGAGCCCGACTCTTTAATTACTGCACATCAACGGATGGGCAGAGTAATTTCATGGAGCCTTGAGACTTTTATCTTCTTTTTACATGTTAGCTGATAATCTAAACAGCTAATGTGTGTGGGTGGGGGATGAATCATGTGATAACACCTCTTATTATAAGAAGCGTGGATACATCCACACTTATAAAATGAATCTTGTTTTTAAAAAATTTTAAATAATTATAAAATTAATACCATATTTTTTTAATTAAAATCCTGAATCATTGATTAGCTATGATTAACGGCTAATATCAATCTTTACTCTTTACTTTGACACTCGTCCACACATGTTTGTTGAGCACTTTACTTGTCTCATTGGCACGATTTATCTTTTTTTTTTTTTTTTTTTCACCCAAAACCAAAATTTTGAGATTTTGCAATTCATTCATTTTCATTGATTGAAAACTTCAATAAAGATTTGTAAGTCAACATAGAAACCTCCATTGGAGGTGGTCTAAGATGGATACAAAATTTTTGCAATTTCCTTTTGTATGGAAAATTGTTTAATTTTGCAGTTTTGAAAGTGAATAAAAATTTAATTTTTACTAATTTCATTGAATTAAGTTTTATTTTTGACAAATATTATGAATCTAAATTGTAGTTTCGATTTAAACATATATTCTTTCAGTGCATGTTAAATTTTGTTTTAAAGGAGTAAAAGTTCGTGTCCGAGATATTATTTCAATTAACGTACTTTAATTTATCAACAAATTAATTTAATTTTTTATAAGATAAATAAATAAATTCTACCCTTTATCAATTTAATCAATTTGTGTGCACATTAAAAGCTAAATTAGAAGTTACAAGGCATTAATGATATTAAGGCGTTATTTAGGAATTAATTAATTAATTAATGGCACAAGATTAAATTACATAAATGGATGTGAATTCCTTACAAATCCAGAGACTCATTTAAGTATATGTTTCATGCATGCAAAGAAATCGTAAGTTGCCAAGTTTCATTACCACAAATACATGTATAAATGAATCAACCTGGAGGGTGTAGTTGGGTCTCATTTATTCGTGGACTACCATGTGATTAGTTTCGATACCAAATTGAAATGTGTGTTTCATCTCAACCAAAAATTTAAGTTGATAGTTGGATTGCACATTGATATTTATATATTACATGTTGAGCATATAATATAAACATATATGTGCAATCCAACTAACATATTAAATTTTTACTTTTTATCTTCATTACTCTTCATTACTAAGTAATCTTGTGCTTGCCATTTTTTATCTTCAAATTCCTCATTAATCAAGCCAAACAAGGATTTTGCGATAAGATCAAAGTAGCATATATATGAAGATTCTGGGAGCGAATTTAGAAAATTTTTACAAAGTAATCCTTTAATAATTTAGAAATTCAAAATAAATTGTTAATATTAACAAAATCTTGTGTCCTGACCAATAAAAAAATGGATTTAAACTGTCACTTTCAACATAATTAAAAAAAAAAAAAAAAACTTGTAAAAGATAATCATCCATTGACTGAGTCCACAATTTAAAAATAATTAATGAACTAAAATAGTCATTTTCCCAATAAAATACATAAAGTACGTGCCACAATTACAAACCAAGATATTTGAAGTCCATTAATTTATCATTTTTTTCATTGAGTGTGGACATATATATACACTAATTACAAAGTAGCAGTACGTGAAGTTGGAATCAATACAAGCATTTTTACATGCTAAAAAACAATGCAGTAAACTGGTATCACAGCTTTTGTTACAATACTTTTAGACTAGCTACACAGCAAACACAATAAGCATTTGTATAATCTACTGAGCCTGCTCAGTTTCTCGTCCAAGAAAACAATTAACTACAGATCATCACGAAACTGCAGATGTATACACATTCCATACTTGTCTCTCTCTCTCTCTCTGTTGTCAGAAAGAGCGAGGTTAAAATTCGTGTGCTGAGATCTTTCGTTTGCTGTTAAGGATGATATCGAGCTTCCATTCTTGGACCGCCCTGCAAGCTGATACATATATATATATATATATATATATATATATATATATAGTATTGATCAGGTGCAGAGTTCAGCGCATAGCTTGTCGATCTCTGCAGAAGAGTTGGTGGCGTTTGGCAAAAAGAAAACTCCGGTCTTCTTTTTTGACACGCATGACAAGTGCACCTCTTCCCCGTCTATGATGGATTGCTATCAGTAAAAAGCGAGAAATATTATATTATCAGCATCGAGTACAATCATGTATATACTTTTTTCAAGTGCAACGCAGAATCATATATGATGGTGCTGGTGTTGATCAATGCCTAAGAAATATTTTCTTATATTTATCTGATCCAGATCTACCAACAGGTTTGATGATCCTAGTTGATCACTGAAGTTGAGGTTTGATTTTCCGACAAAATGGGTGAACAAAATACTAGGAATCAATGTGAAGGTACGAGGTGGGAGAACATGTTACCAAGCAAGGTGCATTGCAGTTCCAAAGTGGGGTTGGATAACATTTCAAATAATGGCACCAAGAGCAGTATTCATTGCCATCTAAACCGTTGAGTAGCAATACCATGCCTCCTGCAAATCTGCAAAATGGAAAGATCAACTTTTTACTAAAAATTCAAGATTTTCAATGGTTCTTTACAACAAGGAGCATAGTTATAGTTTTAATTTACTCGGAGAAGATGGTGTTAGGAAGCTAGCTTACCCGACAATGAGGAGTATCAAAGAGGAGATTAGGAAAATGTACTGATAAACCTTGTACTTGCTCTTTTTGGAATTTAAAAAGTAGCCAGGAGGGGCAGTTTTTTGGCTGACATATCCAAACTGAGGGCGGATCAGAAGGACAAATCCGAGTAAATATCCAGCCAAAAATCCCCCCAGATGTGCAAAGTTATCGACATGGGGGAGAATCCCGACAGCTAGATTTATCAGAATGATGAGAATGAGAGTCAATAGTGTTGCCAACTGATGATTACAAAAGAACCATGTAAGAATAACAGTCCATTTCTTGAAATACTGCTGGGGACAACACATAGCGACTCAAAATCAGAGGTACTATATAGTATATACCTTATTCTCGTATATGGTCCAATTTGTGAGCAGTTCAGACAGCATAGCTCCAAGTAAACCAAATAGGGCACCAGAGGCACCAACTGAGACATTGCTTCGCACAAAAAGAGCAGATGCCAAGCTCCCTCCGATACCAGACAAAATATAAAGCAAACCAATCCTTACTGCAAGATGGACACAATATATAGTAACATTATTTTCAGTTAACTGTTTTTTAAGGATGCCAGAATCAACATAAAGTTTCAAACTTTAGTGGAAACCACACTCAAAACTGTGAATAAAAGTTGGTGGTTAAGTTGTTGAGTAGGTAATTACAAGTTCAACTCCACAACTTATTGACCGACTTTCTTGGTTTGTGCAGGTTAGCTACAGACAACCTAGGCTGGTTTAACTAGTTGTTGACTAAGGTCACAAGACGGGGATTATCCCGTGCACATCTCTCATGTAGTGGCTATCACAAATTCGACTCCCATGAGCGGTCTATTGGCCTTTTGCCAGCTATGAACAACCTAGACTGATTTATTTCATTATTGTCTTTTTGCCCGCTAAGGTCATAAGACGGGAACCTCAAACCTATTGGCCTTCTAGGTTTGTGCACCTAATTGTTGTCTTTTGTTGGCTAAGGTCACAAGCGGATTTCCTAGGAATTCCAAAAAAAAAAAAAAAAAAAAAAAAAAAAAAACTGCTGGTACTATATAAACTTTCTGTCATACCAAACCCGAATTCCTGCTCAAGCCGGATGCCGACGAATAGAAGGCTAACCATGTTAGCGGCAAGATGGAAAACACCGGCGTGTAACCACATACAAGTGACCAACCGCCACCATTGGTGTTCTTCTACGACCATTTTCACATCCAAAGCGCCCAAATTTCGCAGCCTGCATAAATTTGTAATATATATGCAAAACTTGAAAAGAAGATAGGCAAATTAAAGGAGAGTAGGAAGAAATTTCAATGAGGAAAAGAAACAAACAATAGAAGTGCATGGGTAAGAGAGACGTATATAGGGCGGAAAACGCAAAAAAGGGGACTCACGTAAAAGAGGAGGGGCCAAGCAAGGGGTTTTGATGGAGGGTCTGGAAGGCGAAGCGGCCAAGGTAGGAAGTCCCGAAGCAAACCCCGGAGTTTTTGGGGCAATTATTGGCGTACATTGAATACACAAAGAAACCAATGTTGGCGAAGATAATGAGAGGGACGAGCCATGGGAACCATTTCTTGAAAGGCTGGTAAGCGCTTGGAGGAGGCATGGGTGGGTTATGGCCGTGATTGCGAGGCCGGCGGGCACCCGGTGGGGGAGAAGGCTGAGGAGAGTCAGTGCGACGGGGGGGCTGGACCTTGATCTGAACTTCGGACTCCGGCGAAGAGCCCGTTGGAGTCCTCCCCATCGCAGAGGAACCAGCAAAAAAGATGAACAGCAGATGGCAGGTGAAGGGTAAGGGTGGTGACTGGTGATGGGGAGAAACGAGGGGAGGAGGTTTCTTTAGCTACAAATATCCAGTGGGTGATCTAGATTGGAGTTCGGAAGTGTTCCCCAAGATGATCGAGGAAAACAGGGGAAAATGTTGTTTAAACCAACAATGGCTCGTGATTCATGGGGATTTTCATTTACACTTGTGTTTGCCTTATTTTATCACACCACCTCACCTGCCTACAAATTTGTTAAGACATTATACGATGAGAGCGTTTAAGCTTGCACCATACTCAAATTAATCTTAATTTTATAATTAAGGAGCAAAGTTAATTTTTTGAGCAAATACTAATTTTGATCCCACGAGTATTAGCAAAATGACAGTTTTAGTCCACATGTTTAATTCCTACCAATTTTCATCCACGACTATTACTTTAGTACCAATTTTCATCCACGACTATTGTTTTAGTGCCAAAATTCATCACGCCAATCACACATTTGTTTAAAACATGTCGAAATATGAAATTATTAAGGGTATTTTCGTTTTTTTTTTTAAATTAAGATCCCAATTTGAGCATGAATAAAAAGATTTAAGCCCTAAGATCTATCGTGATTCGCAGTTTTTCTTCTCAAATTAAAGTAGAATGAGGAGGAGAACTGCCAATTGGGATTGATCTTAGGGCTTACATCCCTTTATTCATGCTCAAATTAGAGCCTTAAGTTGAAAAGGACGAAAATGCCCTTAAAATTTTTAGATTTCGACATGTCTTGGATGGAGGGGTGACCGGCGTGATGAATTTTGGTACTAAAATAATAGTCGTGGATGAAAATTGGTACTAAAACAATAGTCGTGGGATGAAAATTGGTAGAAATTAAACATGTGGACCAAAACCGTCATTTTGCTAATACTCATGGGACCAAAATTGGTATTTGCTCTTAATTTTTTCATACGAGGGAGGTTCAAACTCTCGACCTTTCTGTGTACGACCATTCACACCAACCAAGTTGGTTTCCATACTATCATTTTTATGCATATCTAAGCTAAAATCAAAATTCTCCACTTATTTACCGCAGGTCATTTGTTGGCTATGACCATGTTTGATAACATAGTTAGTTCAATTTTTTTTTATTCGACTACTATTAATTGTTTGACTTTGTTAAACAACTAATATAAATGTTTGATTAATTAATTTTTTGTAACAACTTATTATTTCAAAATACTAAACTCAAAAGATGCTCAGTCACCTTTTTGAAAAAGTCATTTTGCATTTAATCATATATCAGTTAATGAACAGATACTACAATGTAATAGAGCCAGTAGCTTTCAAAAAAAATATATCAGTTAACAACTAATTTATTAAACATTTTTCTATAATCAACTAATGCTATCAACTAGTCAAACTCATTAACCCAATTAGCTAACAACTATTTACCAAATACTTCCTATGATCACAAAATCGAACTTATCCAATAATTAAACTTGAGTAATGATTGCAAGTTTCTCTCATCACTAAAAAAAAATCTTTAAAAAATGTGCAAGTAATACTTTTATTTTACATATGAATTAGTAAATTCTATAATAATAATAATAATAATAATAATAATAAAAAAAAAGAGGTATACTTTAGTAACAAAAACATATTAATTTACTCTTTTATCTTAAGAGTATTAGTTAGTTTTTAAGAATGAGTAATTGTAGTTAGTTATTCGACCTTTGTTGCCCGACATGAGAGAAAATAACCAACCAATAGTTAAGCCAACATAAACCCATACCAAATTAGAAAGACTTCAAGGATGAGTCTATGCTAAATATCTACCGAAACAAAATTGGTAATTCCACACTTTCTATAAACAATGTCTAACTTCCTTAAATTAAAAAAATTGTCTAAACATGATTTCCAAAACTGTGTCTAACTTCACAAAACCATTGTTCCTTTTCAAATAAGAAATACAGGTTTCACATGATTAGGGGGGTTATTTTTCACCAATTAAGTTTCACTGTAGACATCTGATCTTGTGATGATGCATAGGAAACAATTGAATCGGAGGAAGAATAAGATGGAGAACTCCATTGCGGCAAGGTGTCGCAACAAGTTTTGGATTGTATTTCTTGCTCTCTTCGTCTTCTGGCACCCATTGTTTTACGGCTTCAATTGGTTCTCTTTCCCCGGAATCGCGTCCCCGGCAAAACAAGCGGCGACTTTCATGGAAGCGTTTCTTGCAGATCCTGTTAGAAACCGCGCAGGAACGGTGGTTAAAAATGGCGGTTTTGAAGACCCGGCGGGGAAGGAATTGGAACACAACGACGATGCCTGCGCGGGGAGGTATATTTATATGCACGATTTGCCGGGGAGATTCAACGAGGATTTGATGAAGGAATGTAGATTGTTGAATAAATGGGTGGATATGTGTGGGTATTTGGTGAATATGGGTCTGGGTCCTGTTCTTGGAAATCGCCGGTTTTTGCAGAGCAGAGGGTGGTTTTCCACGAACCAATTCTCTCTGGAACCTATATTCCATTCCAGGATGAAACAATACGAGTGTTTAACCAACGACTCGTCGCGGGCCGCCGCCGTTTTTGTGCCGTACTATGCGGGTTTCGACGTTGTCCGATATTTGTGGGACGATTTCAACGCCTCCGTCCGGGATTCCGGCGCTCTGGGGTTGGTGAAATGGCTCAGGGAAAAGCCGGAGTGGGGTTTCATGGGCGGGAGAGATCATTTCATGGTTGCGGGGAGAATAACGTGGGATTTCCGGCGGTTAGACGACGGCGATTCTTCTTGGGGTAATAAGTTGATGTTATTGCCGGAGTGCCGGAATATGACGGTGTTAACGATCGAGTCAAGTCCTCGGGACAAAAACGATTTCGCGATCCCGTACCCGTCCTATTTCCATCCCTCCACCGCCGACCAAGTTCTGCAGTGGCAGAACCGGATGAGGAGGCAACGGCGGCGGACGTTATTCGCCTTCGCCGGCGCGCCGCGGCCCAACCTCGACGACTCAATCCGCGGTCAGGTCATCCGACAGTGTCTCAAGTCAAGAACCAAATGCCGGCTGTCGGAGTGCAAACCCGACCGTCGGAAATGCGACAATCCGGTTTACGTGATGAGGATGTTTCAGAGCTCCGATTTCTGCTTACAACCTCCCGGCGATTCATTCACGCGCCGATCAACTTTCGACTCAATTCTCGCCGGCTGCATCCCGGTATTCTTCACTCCGGCGTCCGCTTACGTGCAGTATCTCTGGCACCTGCCCAGGAATTTCGCCAAGTACTCGGTGCTAATCCCGGAGGGGGATGTAAGAGGGAATAACGCTAGCATTGAGAACATATTATCTGGGATATCGAAATCCCGGGTTTCTGCCATGAGAGAGGAGGTAATCAAGCTAATCCCGAGATTAGTTTATGCTGATCCTAGGACGAGATTGGAGAGGATTAAGGATGCGTTTGATTTGACGGTGGAAGCAGTGATAGACAGAGTGAAGAAACTGAGGAAAGAGATGAGAGAAGGCAAGGATTCCAGTCTTGATTTTGACGATGAACATAGCTGGAAGTATTATGCGTTTGGGACGGTAGCAGAACATGAATGGGATCACTTCTTTAGCAAATATAGTAGTAGTACTAGGCAGAATTAATATGATAACTAACCTATGGTTTGATAGCATCACTGTTACGATCTCATCGGTTCCATACAGAAGGTCACAGGTTCAAGGATGTTGAGATTATCATATTAAACAAATACAGAATAGTAAAGTTAATGTTAGATTGTAGTCACAAAGAAAAGGTAGAATCAATGTTAGTGCACAATTTTTGTTAGAAACTCACTTAGAAGTAGGAATAGTTGATTATAGTTGAGAAACGGATATTCAAGTAGACGAAACATTATATCATATATAAAGCCTATTACCTTGAAGCTTGCCTAAATATAATTATTGTAAATTTTATATCTCTGATGCGAGTATGCGACATAATATGAATGATTAGTTGTCAAATTATAATGTTTCATAAGTCTAGGAGCATTTTTGTTTATTGAATACTTATAATTACAACATTTGAACAATCTCAACCAATTAGAAAACGTATCACGTTATTGAACAACAAACATAATAGGGATCAAAGGGGTAGTAGGGCACAACTAAAAGCCGTTAATCGGCTATTGTTTTAACTATTTTATTTAACCACAAGTACTAAATTCTTAGGCATGAGTTCTCACACACGAACTACTAAATCCTCGGCAATGGAACCATTTAATTTGATTAAATTATACCTGAAAGTATAGAAGATAAAGATTTAGAAAGCCATTGCAAGAAACACAATAAAATTTTAAGAGTAGAAGATCGGACAATGTTTTCATATGAGAGGTTCTTGATATAGAAAAACCTCGTATATGATTACAAACTTGTACAAGATTAATACAAAGTCACATATACTTTTTACACACGTCTTAAAAGTAGTACAATAAGATAATAGTTTAGTACAATAAAATAAAACCTTAATAAAGTCTTGAGCTACTAAATCTCTCTAATTAAATCATTCAAAATTAACTCTTTGTATTGTGCCAAACTAAAAAGTTTAGTTAAATGTAATTGATGGGAACTAGAACTATAAGAGTAGCCCGACTTATTTTCTGCCATTTACCGACATTATTCGGCACTTGTAGACCTCTGAAAAGAGTTGTCGATCATAGCTTACATTCACTGACTCCACTGTGAAGCTATGTTCATCAAGTGTCTTTCAAACGTGCTATTATTGTCCCATCATATTAGTCAATCTAGTGAGGATATTTGGCGCAACCAATCACCCAACAATTGGAGGACAAGTGTGAGCAACCTCCATAGCATGGGGGAAAGTCGAAAATCTCTAGAGCATTTGTGAAGTTACCAACCACATTTGTAAAATGACATTTCGCTAATAAAATTATTGTTTTATTATTATTTTTATATATTAATATTAATAATTACATCATCATTAATATTTTTATGCACTTTTTATATTAATACATAAGAAGTATTATCTGAGTCAATATCACATAAGATGTACTGTTATTTGCTTCCGGAATGGCATCAAAATGCTTCCATCGAAGGTTCGTCATTTGTATTATTTTCAAACAAACAGGCAAAAATATCTCATTATCAAAAATATCAATCAGGAACATGACAATGACATCAACCACAACAACGTATCCTCACGCTCCGGCACGACGATTCCGTTCAAATTCCCTCACATAAAGCAAAGAATCGAGCGCGTGATAATAACTCAAGACCAAAAAGCAATCGGCTAAACATTTGTTCTTAAAAAAAGACATGAACAGATCCCAATTTGGCTTTAAAAAAACTGAAGCGATCAAAGTGGAGAGAACCGCCAACCAGAACCATCTCTTATCCTCGCTGGTGGAATCCACTCCCCCCTGAAAAACTCTACCAATTTCTTCGAGTCTATATGTGATCCGTCGATTGATCAGCTAGGGTTTTAGTCTCCTTATTCACAGTGTTGAATTGAATTGAATTTTTTTTAACTCAAGTGCAATAGACTTCAGCGGATATGGGGAGCCCTAAGAAGAACCAGAACAAAGGTTTCTTCGCATCGATGACGTCGGGTTTGTCGATGTTCGGCAACGCCCTGCATAGATCCGTCAACGGGTAAGCCTCCCGCCGTTTCTGTTTTCATCTGATCTGGCTGATCTAGTATCGTTCAGTACATTAAGAAGAGTAATTTTGAAGGTTTTGATTTGTAATTTGATAATTTGTATTCTCGTATGGTGATTTGAGATTGCGAACATAAGCTTTTGCTGCTACGTAATAGCTGCATCTTATAATTTTAGATAATAAATGGAGGTTCCTTTTTGAGCTTTGGTGATGTTATACTTAGTTATATCATATTTTGTAATCTATTTTATCTGGAGTAATCGGAAACTAGTACTGTATATTTTAAATACTAGCTGCTACTATGTAATTTGTTTTTTTGTAGGAATCTAGGTACTAGCTGCTGAGTTATTGTTTTGTTACTTGAGTCAGTTTATTGTTACACTGTAATGTTAATCCAATTTTCTCTTAAAATGTTTTCATCAATCTCGGTTGCCCATTTCTTTAGGCATGAGTGCATGACAATGACCCTTAACCCCTCCCACTTCCCTACTTTAGGTTGGTTGAGCAAGACAATGTCTCATGGTTCTGCTAGATCCCTTCCATTACTGTGAAATGGGTTATGTATTTTGTTCTGACTCAGGTTCTCTTCCTCTTCTATTATTCTTGCTTCTAGAATGCTTGGATATGAAGGATTGGAGGTTATAAATCCCGAAGGAGGTAAAGAAGATGCAGAAGAGGAAGCACAAAGAGGAAGATGGGAACAGGAGGTGAGTCGTCTTTCAATCATATAATGTTTTCTATTCTATGAAGACATAATGCTCTCTAAAAATACATTTCCCTTTCATTTTTCCAATTATTGCCTGGGGCAAACTTTGGACACATTTGCACATGTGCATATGAACGAAAAGTTTAAATGCAAGATTGCAAGGTGAAAAAGCAATTTATTATCTCTTATCTCTTATTTTACTTTATTTATTTAATTTATTTGTATCAATTGTATGGAAATAGCCTTTTTCTTTTTATTTTGCTTGTGTCTTAGTTCATCTGTCAGTATATACAGGTAGTTTGTTGAGTGCTTTAATCGCATCTTAGTTACATTAAGATGTAATATGAGCGTAGGTCTTATAGTAATTTTACTCATTATGTAAACTAACATATCTTTTGGTTTATCAAAAGGAACGAGATAGTTACTGGAGGATGATGCAGAAGTACATTGGAGCTGATATCACATCGATGGTGACACTTCCTGTTCTTATATTTGAGCCAATTACCATGCTTCAAAAAATGGCGGAGGTTTGTTCTCCCTTGTTTGCTCATTGTTTTAGTTGACTTAAGACAGTGGCTACAAGCTCACAGAAAAGCTTTTGTAAATGCTAATCCTTTTTGTGTTTTTCCATCATAGAGGACAAAAGAGAAGTAATTCTTTAATTCTTGTGGCAGTTAATGGAATACTCCCACCTTTTAGATAAGGCAGATGAATGTGAGGATCCCTACATGCGGTTGGTCTATGCAAGTGAGTTAACTTCACTTTTGTGTACAGAAAATTTACACTGTTTATCATGTTTTGTTTATTGGGATTTCAAAAAATATTAAGGAATTACTAAAAATTCTTGCAGCATCTTGGGCAATATCTGTTTACTATGCCTACCAACGCACATGGAAGCCTTTTAACCCAATTCTTGGTGAGACTTATGAAATGGTGAATCATGGTGGGCTTACATTTATTTCTGAGCAGGTAGTTCCTGGATATCAGGCTTTCTGCTTCATATACCTTCATTATTTTCTTCCTGATACCTTTTGCTGATATGTTGCTTTCATCTTTTCCATACTGAAAATAACTTCACTCTAGATTCTATGTTTTTGAGAGTGCTTATTAAAATGATAAGATCAAGAACACTAGATTCCCAAATATTTCTGAAAATTATATAAGATGACCATAGGTTGTGAAGTTTTCTTTATTTGATATATTTTAATAGTGTTAATTCTTGGCATTTGATAGGTGAGTCATCATCCTCCAATGAGTGCTGGGCATGCTGAAAATGAGCATTTCATATATGATATTACATCAAAGTTGAAAACCAAATTCTTAGGGAACTCCCTTGATGTCTATCCTGTCGGAAGGTCAGCAAGAAATGAATGTCATAAGTTTATTCATGAATGCCATAATGAGGATATGAATATGATAAAAAGTTTTTAGAATTGCACTTGTTGCTTTCTACTTATCTAGAGTATGTTTAATTCATGAATTGATTCACTATTAGTTGGTCAAATCAACTCATTCTTCTTTGCTTATTTACTTTAATGTATTCTTTAATTTTTAAATTTTTATTTTTTTAATGTTTAATAGTACTTTTAAATTTTAATGTAGTTTCTAAATATATAAATTTTATATACTAATACTAGAGTAAATATTAAGAAAAATTAAATTGTAAATAACTTGAGTCAAGTCTTGTTAACTGAATTGGACACATAAAATGGAATGGAGAGAGTATAAGTTTAACTAAAACAATTTTTGGTTCCCTTAGCATAATTGAACTAATCTCTGTTCGAACTTTGAATAAGATCATATATAAAACAAATCTCAACGTATACTTTTTGAATGCAGAACACGTGTGACTCTTAAAAGAGATGGTGTTGTCTTGGATTTGGTTCCACCACCCACGAAGGTCAACAATTTAATTTTTGGTCGGACTTGGGTGGATTCACCTGGAGAAATGATCATGACCAATATGACTACTGGGGACAAAGCTGTGCTCTATTTTCAACCGTGTGGTTGGTTTGGGTATGTTGATGTGCAATTTGCTTTTATCTTACTTAACGTCTATGCTTGCACTTAATTGTTTATGATTTTCTGGGAACCATTGCTCCTTCTGGACGACATAATAGGAGAGTTTGGAGATTGTGCTCTCTTTGCTCAGCCCGATTGTTTTTTTTTTTTTTTTTTTTTTTTTCAGTGGTAGTGTTATTTCTCCAGTTTTTATGAGGTAAAAAGTTATTACCTTTGGTTCTAGTATGCCTAACTGACTATGCATCTTTGGGCTCAGGGCTGGTCGATATGAGGTTGATGGATATGTTTATAACGCTGATGAGGAACCAAAAATACTGATGACTGGAAAATGGAATGAATCAATGAGTTATCAACAATGTGACATGGAAGGCGAGCCTCTTCCCGGCACAGAACTTAAGGAGGTTAACTTGCTTCCTCTCTCATTGTTCAGATTCTTTGTGTGCACAGTATCTCATTGTTATAAAAATAGGAAAAAAAGTTTGTAGAATTGATTTGTGATATAATTTCACTGGACGAACAGCATAAATAAAGTGGGTAAAGGGCATATTGGTATGAAGTAATTATGATGTTTTGATCTCTTAGATAACCTGGATTGTGTCACTGTTAATATGATGATTGTTCAGTTGTGTAAGATAACACAGGCAATATATGGCCTGGCCTCATGAATTCTGTGTAGGTTTGGCGAGTAGCCCCTGTTCCAGAAAATGATAAATTTCAGTACACTCACTTTGCTCACAAAATCAACAGCTTTGATACTGCTCCAAAAAAGTTATTAGCATCTGATTCTCGTTTGCGCCCTGATAGAGCTGCACTTGAAATGGGCGATATCTCCAAAGCAGGTGCCGAAAAAAGCAGGTTTGTTAACCTTTTTTTTTTTTTTTTCATACAAATGTGATTAGGATAATTTGCCTTAATAAGTTTTTGTTCTTTTTAGTTTGGAAGATAGGCAAAGAGCTGAAAAGAGAAACCGGGAAGCAAATGGGCATCAGTTCACACCAAGATGGTTTGATTTTACAGACGAAATTAATCCAACTCCGTGGGGAGATTTGGAAATTTACAGCTACAATGGCAAGTACACTGAACATCGGTCTACTGTAGAAGCCTCAGGCAGCATTGATGTAGATGACCCCCGGTCAGTGGAGTTCAATCCATGGCAATATGGTAATTTGTCCGAGTGAGGGAAGATCAAAGTTTTGGATGCATAGGTGGAGCTCTCTTATAAGGGCACTGGGGCTTTCTTCTGTGTGGAATAGAATTATCTGTTGTCTGTGTTTGGTGTACATTTGTATCCCCATATACTAGATTTATGTTGCTCCCTCTTCTTGGCAAGTTGCAGTTTCACTTTTAGCTGATATTAGCAAGCTATCTCTCTGCAAGATAATCTATATGATTCTAAGTTTCCTCATTCTCCACCTTAAGTTCATTATGATTCCTCCAATACTATCTTGCAAGGAAAGTGCTGCTTTCCCAAGCTTTTGTATCAAATATATCTCAAAAGATTTGATTTATGATTAGTGTCACCAAACTTTTGTGCTAAATGTCTCAAATGATTTCATATATGATAAGTGTCAACAAACTTTTGTACAAAGTATGTCTTAAATGATTTTATTTATGTCACAGTCTTTCATATTTAGGATTGTTTTAATGTAAGAAATGTCAAATAGCTATTATTGAATTGGTTAGAACGTGGGAATTTATTCCATTTTAAATGAATAAAACATTTAAAAATGTCAAATAAACTTTTTAAAGTTTAATGAATAATGCAATTAGGTCTTTTTAACATTAAAAAAATAATTCAATGGAGTTTTCTAAATTGATAAAATGGTGTAATTAAGTCCTAGTCTCCAATGATGTGACGCTAATTAGGTTTACACATGATATTTGGTGAATTTTTTATTAAAAAACGCAACCATGTCTTTGTTGACAGTTAGTGGTAATTTCGGTTAATAGATAACCACTACATTGGTTGTCTATAACAACTACGGAGTATGATTATCTAGATAAAAAGTTTCAAATTTTACAAAAATAGTTATGGTGGCCTCCTTCAATCCTCTAGGAACTTGTTCAAAGAGAGAAAACAACCATGTTGCTTTTGTCAAATAAATGTGGCTAGTTAGTGACAATCATAGATTTATAGATGTCTAGTTTGTTTACGAACAATCACACTGGTTGTCCGTCAACTGAAACACTATCAGCTGTCATCAATGGTGTGTGACTATTTTTTTTTTCAAAATCAAAATATAAAGGTATCCTTGTAGTTGCATTCTTAAAAAAATTACTAGATACATAGGTGTTGAGCAATCCAATTATCAGCTTAAACTTTTAGTTGGGATGGAGCAAATGCTGCAATTTGGTATCAGAGCTTAGGTTTCTAGTTGAGATGGAGCACATGCTTCAATTTGGTATCAGAGCCAGATCAAAGGTCATGGGTTCAAATCTCAGCATAACTGACCTCGTGAACAGCTTTGATACCACCTCCAAAGCAGGTGCAAAAAAAAAAAAAAAACAGGTTTGTCAACTTTTTTTTTTTTTTTTTTTAGTTGTGAGTGCTCAACACATGCATACAAATGTGATTAGGATAATTTGCCTTATTAAGTTTTTGTTCTTTTTAGTTTGGAAGATAGGCAAAGCTGAAAAAGAGAAACCGGGAAGCAAATGTGCATCAGTTCACACCAAGATGGTTTGATTTTACAGACGAAATTAATCCAACTCCGTGGGGAGACTTGGAAATTTACAGCTACAATGGCAAGTACACTGAACATCGGTCTACTGTAGAAGCCTCAGGCAGCATTGATGTAGACAACCCCCGGTCAGTGGAGTTCAATCCATGGCAATACATAGGTGTTGAGCAATCCAACTATCAGCTTAAGCTTTTAGTTGAGATGGAGCACATGCTTCAATTTGATATCAGAGCTAGACTTTTAGTTGAGATGGAGTACATGCTTCAATTTGGTATCAGAGCCAGACCAAAGGTCATGGGTTCAAATGTCAGCGCCACCCATAATTGGAACCCACCGCACACGTGAGGGGACGTGTTGAGCAATCCAACTATCAGTTTAAACTTTTAGTTGAGATGGAGCACATGTTTCAATTCCATCTCAACTAAAAGCCTAAGCTGATAGTTAGATTGCACATTAATGGTTATATGCTCAACACGCCCCCTCTGGCTCTGATACCAAATTGAAGCATGTGCTCCATCTCAACTAAAAGGCTAAGCTGATAGTTGGATTGCACATTATCCTATTGAATAGGCAATATTATAATTGCCGATTTAAAGAACTTCATTGAAGTTTTTTTTCCCCACAGTTTGGACATATTTGAACTATTCGTTGTACTTAGTGAGCCAATTTGACACTTAAAAAATATATATATATATATATATATAACATTTTTTCTTCTTAAAATGAGAATTAAATTAATATTCTAAGATTTTAATTAACAAACTTAATTCACAAATCTTTACAATATAGGTACTCCGATGTCATATAGGTTGGAATAATTGACTATATATACTTTAAGTGGTAGTCGAACTCAACTTAAAATGAAAGAATAAGAACTTATATTGGTAAAGAGACCTAATACGTTTTCCATTTATTTCTTCATTTTCATAAGTGTCTATATATATATATATATATATATATATATATATATATATATAGGCACACAGAACACACATGATCATACAAAAATAAATTATGCAATTATTCAAAGTGTCTAAAAAGTTATCATTCTACTATAAAAATAATAATGTTTCAAATTTACTCATCATCAACATACATATGTCAATCAAAGTATGAGTGTGACACACACCCTCTCGTAAATAACAACATTTTGGAAGGACACGGCATCTAAGATTACTTAGAAAAGCCTATTTAATTAATGAAATTAAAGCATGAGTACTAAAATTATTTATAAACCTTAATGGGTGGCCTGGGGATCAAATGTATTCCTTTTTTTTTTTTTTTTTTTTCTGTTCCAAAGTCAGTGTTGAAAGGTGCCACCAAACATATATAACCAAATCCATCATATCCCAAAGTGTTTGTTATAATGCTCTTCTCCTCATTCATACCAGCCAGGAAATAATTGACCCAACACCTCACATCTGTCTTTCTCTCTTCTCATACTACTAGTTTTTTACGCGCATTGCGCGATTAGGATAATGTCCAATGATTTTTTTAAAATAAGTACTTTAAAGTATATTAAGGCAAGATTATATTGAAATTGTTCATGCATAGATAATTGAAGGTTGAATTTGCGTATTTAAATAAGTAATTCTTCTCCAAAAGGTTGAGTCCCCAACCCCAAGGGCCCCCTATACTCCGACCCGACAGAGCATTGTGGGAAGTTGTAAATCACGGTGACTCAATGGTTTAGCAGACAGGGCCAAATGCTGATACGCACAAGGAATCTGTCCACTTTTGACATAATTCCCGCATTGCCGCCGCCGAGGTTCAAACCTTGGTCTCTTCTCCCAAATACTACCCACTAAACCATTGAGCTAAGCTCGTGCGGGTTAAATAGGTAATTCTAAGTTTACAAATGCAAGATAATATAGTCAATATTGATTATAATTGTCAATAAAATAATTGTATAGGTATGGTCGAAACCAAATACGGGACATAAGGGAGAACAAATAAAAATTAGGGCATAAAATATTAAATATATACTAATATTGTTTGAGGAGATTCCGACATTAGGATTTGTGGTTAAGTTCTATTAAGACTTTAATAATAGAATTAGATTAATGGTGTAGTTATAATTCTATATTAGACTTTAATATTATAATTAGACTAACGGTGAATTAACGGAAAAATTAAATGGATAATCATATAATTAAGGATAAATTAGAAAATCTTAAAAGAAAAAAATTAAAATCTGAACAATATGAACCATTCATTTGATTTAATAATTTGGCGGTCATTTTTTCTACCCAATGTTAATAATTAAATAAATTCACTGTCAAATCTGCTAGTATAATCCGCTAACGCTAACCGCTAATTGCTGATTGTCAAGCAAGGACATTGCAAGGTAGTTCTCACTTCAATTTGTTGTGTGATTTGAATACTCTCTTTGTCACAAAATCTCTCAAGTAGTTAATATGGTTGGCTTTATTAATTATATTTTTTTTTAATTTTTTCATGGTATTAATAAAATACTTGGTAAATAAATATATAGCATTATTTTATGTTATAACTTTGATATTTAATTAGAAAAACAGTGCACAAAAAAGATAATAGATAATGTAGTGAATATAATCAATTGATGAACTTGAATGTAAAAATTTTTACATTTGAGAAAAATAAAGACAATATAACTAATGAAAATATTTATTTTAATTAATTTATTGATAATTAATAATTTTTTTTTTCACTGAATAAAGACATTGTAAGGACAATGTAGCGAATATAATCAATTAATAAATTTGAATATAAAGAATTTTTATATTGAAGAAAAATAAAGACAATATAACTAATAAAATTATTTATCTTATTTAATTTATTGATAATGAATAATTTTTTTTTAATAAAGACATTGTGGACACATAATTCTAAATTAAAGAAATTTATATGTATTATTTTTTGTTGTAACTACTAAATTATTATTTATATATAATTTAATAAGAGTAAAATAGAGTACTAATTATGTCAACTTTGATTGGGGTGAGGTTCGAACCTAAGACCTTTTTTTATTGAAATCAATGAGTAAGTTAACAGTGAACTAACGGCAATTTTTAAAATTTTAACAGAATTAGTAACGGTGTGTGGGTATTTTAGGAAATTTTAGTGTAAAATTTAAATCTGATCAATTTTTTAATCAATCTGAACCATTCATTTGATTAAAATCTGTGACCGCCATTTTTTCTACCCATTATAGGCCTAACTCTCTTGGGCTCTTATTAGTATATATATATATATATATATATATATATATATATATAGTAGATTTTACTTAATGTTTATAAATTACTACATTTTGTGCACATGAAAATTATAATTGTTAGATAATTAATGTACCAAGCATGCATGTTCTAAGCCCTCAACTTATTATACATATAATATTCCCAAGATTTCAATGTTTATCTGGTTTGTTTGTTTGACACTTCAAGTAACATAAGATAATAGTTCATAAATAAGATTATCACAACCCAATAGGGTAGCTCAAGTAATAAATGAGCTCTTTGTGTGTGTGAGAATTTTGGGATTACCTGAGTTCGATTCCCACAAGTGACGATTCATTTTGGGCCAACTTTTGTGCCTCCCGCGGATAGAGAAAGGCGAGACTTGTTCGTGAAAATTGAAGCATGTGGCTCTAATACCAAACTGAAACATGTACTCCATCTCGGGCGCACATTAATGGATGTCCATTTATCATGCCTTTTATTCATTGCTCTCCTATTTTTTTTTTCTCTTTAATAAAACCCATATATGTCCCTGTATTCACTCTAAGAAAATTAAATTACCCTTACAATGCTATCCACGAGTAATTAGAAACTTCTGATTTATTATTTAACCTTCACTAAGAGCATCCCTAATGAGAATTTTTTTTCTTAAAATTTGAAAAAAGTTTGTTGATATGAAAGCGAGAGGTGGGAGGGGAAAGATAAAATGTGTTATATTGTTTCAGAAAAATGAGGGAAAAAAGCCATGTCAAGCTTACTTGTGTGGCCAAAGAGCATATAGTACCGTGTAAGAGTACATGCCAACCAACAACCATTCTTACTTTTATTAATTATTTTAATTTTATTTTAGTTTTGAATGTTGCAAATTCCACATGGCATGATTGCACAAAAAACTTGTCAAAAATAAAAAATCATTGAATTTGCTTTAGGGTGCGCCGGGCACTTCCAATAGAGGTTTTTTATTTTTATTTTTATTTTTATATATTTTTTTATTGTTGACTGTTGTGGAAGAAAGAGAAGGTGAAGTGGCAAATGACAAATACTTAATTTGTTGTTGTTGCTATTTTTAGTTTTTGTTGTAAGAAAATAAAAGAAATGCTTGTTAATAGGTGACCACTCTCCTTTTTATTTTTATTTTTTGAAAAAAGTGTTAAATTGGCCTCCTAAGTCAAGTGGATAGTGCAATTGAGCCCACTAAAAAACTTCATTCAAGTCCCCTAAACCAAAAAAATTATTCAATTAAGTCCAAGTTGACTTGTTTATCAGATTAAGTGCATACGGTGTTGACATGTGTCCTTATTTTATTTTTTTATTAAAAATATTATTTATTATAAATTAATAATAATAATAATAATAATAATAATTTTTAAAAAAAAAAAAAAAAACAGCCACCGGCTGTCCGCCGCCCTCGTTCCAGACGGAGGGGACTGGAACGACGAGTCCTCTCTGTCTGGAACGAGGGCGGCGGCCAAGGCCGTAGCCCTCGTCTAGATCTAGAAGACGGACATGGCCGTCTTCCTTAGACGGCCGAGGCTGGAACGGCCACGATTGTTTTTTTATTTTATTTTATTTTTAATAATAATAATTATTATTATTATTATTTTAATTAATTTATAATAAATAATATTTTTAATAAGAAAATAAAATAAGGACACGTGTCAACACCGTATACATTTAACCTGATAAACAAGTCAACTTGAACTTAATTTGAACAATTTTACCGGTTTAGGGTGTGAGCATATAGCCATTAATGTGCAATCCAACTATCAGTTTAAGCTTTTAGTTGAGATGGAGCACATGCTTGAATTTAGGGGACTTGAATGATTTTTTTTTTTTTTTTGTTCACTTAGGGGACCCAATTGCACTATTCACTTGAATTTTTTTTTTTTCACTTAGGGGACTCAATTGCACTATTCACTTGACTTAGGGAGCCAATTTGACACTTTTTTCTTATTTTTTAAATTTCTAGTTGGCAAAAAAAAATGAAAAAGAAAAAATCACCATTGAGATTTGTGATCGCATAGTAACTGCCTAGTAACCACTATCCCTCCAAATAACTACCTTTGCTTCTTTTTCTCCTCCTCGTAAAATTTCAGGAAATAAAATCATTTATGCATTTTTAATTCCCAGTTACTTTTCAGGTTTAGGTAAAAGTTTTATATTCCATAGTAAAAATCTTTGGATAACCATAAATCTCTATCATTATATTGTTGGGACGCAATTGAACGATGGGAAATAAAATATCTTTGCTAGTTGTAACTGCTACTGTATTTTTTTATTTTTTATTTTGGTAAATAATGAAATATAGGATTAATCATTATTTTACTAAAAAATTTGTAATTCTTACTCAAAAGTGCACACTCGTTTTAAGGCTTTAATTAACAAAAATTTCAAGAAGACAAAATAAATTAATTTAAACCAGTCTTAACTAATCGATTAAACTAAGGAAAAATGGCACTTTTTACCACTGAGTTATATACTTATAACATTTTTTTTCCCTCAATTATTTAGGTAAGCACATTAGCCCCTCAATTATTCTAAAAGTGGTGCATTCCCCCCCCCCCCCCCCCCCCCCCCCCGATATATTAAATTGACATTTATACACTTAAAATAAATATTTTATTTATTTTACTACTCCAACAAATTATTGCGTATACGTAGGGATGACCACGGTTCGGTTTGAATTGAACCGGATACTAAAGCAATCGAATTAATAGTTTACGGTTATAATTCAGATTTAGAACCCAATATTTAAATGTCAATTTATTAAAATTATGTATCAAAAAAATTGAATCTTGAATAGTGAACCGGCGGTTCCGGATCTGATTCGTGATTTTGAACCGTCTTTATTTTAAAATAGTCTAAATTCAACAATAAATGTATTTTATTTTTTCAGTTCGGAACATGAACCGTCCGTTCCGGTTCATGATTTTAACAAACTCTAAATATCGAATTTCGATTCTAAATTGTAATTGGAATATTTCGGTTTGGTTGCTATAGTGTTTGTTTAGTTTGAACCAAATTATGGTCATAATTTGTTGGAGAAAAAAAATAAATTAAATATTTAGTTTAAGGGTAAATATGTCCAATTAACATTTCAGGGGGAAAAACAGCCACTTCAATCATTTAAGGGGAAAAAATGCTATAGGTATATAACTCAGGGGAAAAAGTGTCATTTTTCCTTAAACTAATAAATTAATAGACAACTTCTAATTAAGAATACTTTCAATATTACAAAGTTACTGCTCATATGGGATTGAAGCCCCGCAAATCAGATTAATCTGATCTGTCTCTTGAGTGAACAGATGGATGTAGATCTACAGGCTACAGCCACGTGATGTTAGGTTGTCACTATATGTTTTTTTTTTTCTTTTTTGAAAACAAAAGAATATTAAATTAAATTATTAAAAAAATTAAAAGAGCATTACAAATGAAAGAAGAAGGGTAAGAAGACCACTTTGAAGACTTAGAAACAAAATCCCTAACTAAGAAGTGAGTTATTCAATTCGCAGAACGCTTAAAAAAAGAGATACAACTATAAGTGAAACCATTCACAGAATATTTTACATCTAATAAAAGTAAATCAAACCACAAGACAGATGATAAAGAAGATAGGGACGTGAGGACAAGTAGTACCGTTAATGCCCTTTGTGTAACTTTTTTTTTTTTTTATAAAATAAAATAAAATTTATACTCGATAGTAACTGTCTGATAAAGTTGTACAAAAAATATAAAAAAAAAAAAGTGTGTGTTGTATAGAAGTTTAAAAAGGGAAATGGCAAAAAGGTAAATTGAGAGCAAGAAATTCCCTCCGTTGGTTGATCCAACGTTTTTGTCGAATGTGCAACAGCAGCAGCCCAGCAGGTGAGCACCGGATTCGTAGAGAGCTCCACGTGGCGGCATCCAGAGACAACCTGCGGAAGAGTGCGAAGAACCGGTCTTCAGGGGTTTGTATGATCAGTGTCCGAACAAGATTTAACCGACACTTCCGGTAACCGGTGCCGTGTGTATAAAATCTGGGGGTTTAAGACATGGATAGGTGGTTTTCTCAGGGTTTTTCTTTTCTTTTCTTTTTCTTTTTTCTTTTTTTAGGAAAAAAAACAACTTACAACACCCTCCATGCCCATGCTTGCCTCTTCACAAGTTTAGAGGGAGGGAAGGAGAAACAGATAAACCGCGGGGCACTCAGTTTCTTTTGCAAAGGCTTATGAGAATTCTGGGTTTTTGGCGTTTCGGTTTTTCCTAGATTACATTTTCCGGGGAAGAGACATCTCCCAATCCTTCATTGCAATGTTGGGTTGTGTAAAGTTTTCATCTTTTGTCCCATTAAGGCTTAATTCTGGTTAAATTTGATGCGCACTTGGTTGCTTAAAGGTTAGGTGATCCCTTTCTGGTCTGTTTTGCTGCCAAATTCTGATGGAGATAGGATAATAACAAGTTTTCGGGTACCCAGAAAATTTATGTTCTGAGAAAGTTCAGGTGAAGTTTCGTTCTTTTATGAATTTTGCTTGTCTTTTTGTGTATTGTCATTTATTTTTTTTTTATAATGATAATGGATTTACATTTATGTATCAATGTATTTGATCTCTGTTTTGATTGTTGTTTAAGGAATTTAAGGTCCAGGTTTATGTTTATCTTCTTCGTGTTGGATTATAATCCAGATCCATTCGTTTATTTTGAAGTTTCCTATATTTCTCTTGGTTGTTCTCCTTCATGGGGTGTAGGGATCATTAAGGAATTCTAATTTTACTTTTTTTTTTTTTTTGATGAATTTATTTATCAATAGAGAGATTGAAGGGAGGGGGACAGGGGGTTTAACAATTTGTTTCTTTTATTTGAGATAGTATATTTTGAAATGTTTCCATCAGGGTTTTGAAAGGGTTTTTTTAAAAAAATAATAATTAGAAACTTTCCTGATTTACATGTTTTCATGAGCAAATGATTTCTAAAAGGATTTGAAACTTTGAAGATTAGAAATCTTTAGAATATGTTCATTTGTTTTCCACATAATTCACTTGCATAATGTTTACACACATTTGATTTGATGCTTTTAGGTGTGTGTTTTATTGTCATTCTCGTTTTTGGATTAGAACCTTGTCTCTCTAGGATTTATTGAGTCTTATTGGGACTGATCTGATTAGTCATTGATCCTTTTCCATGTTTTAGAAGCTATTTACGAGTTTATTTCTAGGCCAGATAATGGATTAAGATTCGATTTGCTTTTAGTGCAGCGACATTTTTGTTGTAGATGTTAAGGTTCTTGGTGGTTCTATAAAGCTTCAAACTTTCATGATCCCGGTATCCACAATTCTTTCAGTTGACAGATCTTAGCATATGGCGATATCTTAGATCTTTGAAATTTGCAATTATGAGTTTGTGAATGTAACGTTAGCTGAGCATGTAACAAAGTTATGATTTAACTTCTGCTCCGTTTTCTTTCATTATCTCGATTGCAGGCTGCATGATTTTCTTTGGTTTGGCGTTTTGGCAAAAATGTTTAGGGAGCATCTTAGACTATGGGGGTTTTCAAGATTAAATTTAAGAAGACACTGCTAGTTTTCTGTGTCGTTTGACTTCTTGGCATGGTTCCTAAGATATGGTGTTCCAAAAGAGATTAGATTATGGTTTTGACGGGTATCAGGTGCCTCCCATACCACGGTCTACCCGATCAACCCGGGTTAGTCATTACCTTTATGGAATACGGCCCGTTTTTTGTGTGAAAATGTCCTTATTTTGTTATCATCGTTTTTTCAGAAGAGGGGCGGGAGCTGGAGGAAAGCTGATGTCAATCACGTATGTGCGTTTGACTTATTAGCTACAGTAGCTGGCAATTTACTTCTCGAGGGAGAAAACACAGCTAGTGCTAAAGAGCATTCGGTACTTATGAAAGATTGTATTAAGGAGGAAGAGAAAACGATGCAAGAAAAACCGTGTGATCAAGGTAGCTCTGAACGGGGTTTCTTTCTTTCTGAGCTTGTCTCGCAAGCGCCCATGTTAAGTAACTGTTCGAGTGAGCTCCCGCTAGCACAAAATGATACATTGTCTGCACCTGCCTCTGGAATAACTACTTCCGAATGCTCGGAAAAGTTTGCCACTATGGAGCATTTGGTTAATGGTGGGAACAAGCTTGAACTCGGGAGCTTAAACAGGAAGGCGGATCTCGACGTGTCTGGTTGCAAAGTCTTTCCTAATCGTAAATTAGGTTTCGAATTTGGAAAACCAGGAAGCAAGGGCCTGGTGAATGATGATAATAAAGCGGGGGGTATCTGCATTTCGGGCTTCCCTGTCCTCGGGACTAGAAAACCGTCTACTTTAGTTTGCTCAGACGATAGTGTAAAGCTAACTCCGCCAAAGGACCATATTTCTTGTGTGTCTTTCCCCGTGAAGAGGGACGATGTAAAGTTAGGTAGTAGAGACGATGACGAAAACTCTTCGGGCTGCACTCAACCTAGTAAGGTCTTCAGGCAAGCTCAACCATATATCGAAGATCGAAAGAGCGGGAAATACCCGGAAGTGAATCCAAAATCGAACGACGAGGAACATCTAAATGCTGGTGAGATTGCTTTGAATTAGCTCGAGTATGATCCAAATTGAATTGCTGCGATTTTATCTGATCAGGATGAATGATGCCTGCCCCTACAGATAATAGTAAGAACAGTTTGAAGCACCAAAGGTCTCTCAAAGATTACCCTTTCAAGAAACGGAAGCTCTACGATTGTAGTAGCTCAGTGTCCATTTCTGATGTAGGGATAAGGAACGACGGGATATGTAGTTGTCCTTCTAAACGCTACAATGGAGATGATGCTTCCAGTTATACTCTAACTTTACCATCAGGTTCATTCTCATCTCATCGCTGTTGAGCATATAGCCATTAATGTGCATAGTTGAGATGGAGCACATGCTTCAATTTGGTGGCTCTGACCAAAAGTCATGGGTTCGAATGCCACCCATTTGCTTGGAACCCACCGCACACGTGAGGGGGCGTGTTGAGCATATAGCCATTAATGTGCAATCCAACTATTAGCTTAGACTTTTAGTTGAGATGGAGCACATGCTTCAATTATCGGGATTTTTACTTTCCCGTCAACTTATTGGCATCTGCATTTCGTTCTCACAGCTCACCCTGTAGCCGGGACTTCGAGCTCTGCAGCAGGCGAAAGTTCATCCTTTCGATCGGGTGATTCCCAGGGTACGCATAAATTAGATAATGCATTGAGTTGCTGACAAGTTTCTTTTGTTTAAAGGCGTTCTGACATAGTGACGTACATATATATATATTTTTCTTTTACTCAGTGAAGCTGAGAATTAAGTCTTTCAGAATTCCCGAGCTTTTTATTGAGATTCCAGAAACTGCAACTGTTGGTTCTTTAAAGGCATGTGAAAAACAAAAATTTGATCTTTCAGAATTCCCGAGCTTTTTATACTTCATTATTTGTATATCGATTTTCTGAGTAAACCTTTTCTTTCCCTACCAAGTTCTGAAGGGCTAATGCATTGTTGCTTCTCCTAATACTTTCTTTAGAGGACAGTCATGGAGGCGGTGACAACAATTCTTGGCGGTGGACTACGTGTTGGGGTACTCTTTCAGGGCAAGAAGGTTAGAGACGATAGCAAAACGTTACTACAAACCGGGATTTGTCACGATAACAAGCTCAATGCTGTGGGTTTCACCCTCGAGCCCAATCCTTCTCAAGATCCCCCGCCACCCATGTGCCCTAAAGAGCATCCTTATCTACTTTCTCGTGACTCGCCTCAACCACTATCAAGGTAATCCAGAAACTATTTTAGCATTTCCAGTTTTAGTTTGGTATTTATTGTTTATTGTTTTGGTATTAATTGGCATGTAAGATCATTGGTGTTGCTGATGAGTATAGAGTAATGTCATCTCTCCAGGTATCCATCTTCGCCCAGCGTGATTCATAATGCAGTGCAACGGGGACCGAATTCTGCTCTTCCTAATCCTCGGGGAACCAGTAGTGTGATCAATTTCTTCGAGAGTGACCACGATTCAGCTCCATCCCCCCCTCCCGACATCTTGTTGAATAAAAGTGCAGCAGATTCAAGAGCCCTGGTTGCAGTTCCCTCGGGGAATGCAGAACCCCCCTCTGTGGCACCAGCAAGGAAACCAAAGCGATCCGAGACAGCACAACGAAGAATTCGCCGCCCTTTCTCCGTTTCTGAAGTGGAAGCACTTGTTCAAGCTGTTGAGAAGCTTGGAACTGGAAGGTAAAACTAATTCAACAGTTAAAAACCCAGGAACATTCTTGACCAATTGTACAAATTTCTGTTCTCAAGTCTCTTGTTTGTCCTCTTTTCTGAGTGACGAGGGAAACACGTAACTACTGTCCAAAGATGTGTATTGGTTAAATCCTGTCTTGTGATCCTAGTAAGAAAAGAGGTAAATCAACCAGGTTATCCATAGCTGACTGGCTCAAATGGCGAATAAGTCGCTTTTACTGGGAATTGAACTTATAATCTTGTGGTTACCAAATTAGAAAAGAGGTAAATCAACCTAGGTTATCCATAGCTGACTGGCTCAAATGGCGAATAAGTCGCTTCTACTGGGAGTCGAACTTATAATCTTGTGATTACCAAATTAACTGCTTAACGTTCCTGTTAACCGTGGTTGCATTGTTTTTGCAGGTGGCGTGACGTTAAGATGCGAGCCTTTGATAACGCCAAACACAGAACTTATGTTGATCTGAAGGTGTGAACATCGTAAACTGATAACAAGACTACACATTTGTTATTTTATATATATTATATGCTCAACACACACCCTCCCGCTAATGCAGGACAAGTGGAAGACACTGGTGCATACTGCAAGAATATCCCCTCAGCAAAGGAGAGGTGAACCGGTGCCACAGGAGCTACTGGACCGGGTTCTGGCTGCCCATGCCTACTGGTCTCAACAGCAAACCAAGCAACAGATGAAACACCACTCTGCAACTTGCTTTCTACTCTAAGATTAAGCGAGCTCGTTATACAAGGTCTTCTTAGTACAGTTTACTTCTCCCGTGAATTTACAGGAGCAGGATTTATCCAGTATACATTTTCGGGTATTCTTACCCGAAAAAGAGAGCTGGCTGCACTTGTGGAGAAATAAAAGTAGATAAACATTTTGAGATTGTTGTTGTTGTTGTTGGTTTTTTTTCTGTTTCTTTTTCTTTTCATTTTTTTCATTAATTCTTTTTGTTTTACACGAAAATTATTATAGAAAAGGCATGGCTGGGAAAAGGGTCACTTCTGTAAATGTTTGGTGAAATAAGTGGTTGGTAACATTTTTTTTTTTTTTATTTTTAACCAATAATTTTGATTACTTTGAGATTGAATTATTATCAAACTTTAATTTACTGTCTCATTTAGTATTCATTTCTCAAACTAACTCTTATTTTTTTTACTTTATTTTCTTTATATTTTTTAAATTCAATTTCTTGTGTTTTATAGTATTTTTGATATAGTTATCCTAACGTTAAATTAAATATTACAAAAAAAATCTTGTGTATAAAAGAAAATAAGAAATAAATAAATAATTGTTCAATATTTTAGTGTATTCAATGCACCTTTGTAACTCTCTCAAATTGGAAGTCACATGTTCGAATCTCAATAAAAGCCTTAACTCTTTGTATTTTAATAAGTTGAGAAAGTTTGTATAGTCATATACTATATTGTTTGGAGTAATAGAGTTAGTAGTACTCAACAAAAATTATTCAATATTTTAATGTTGTCACTTTCATGATAAGTAAATATTTGTGATATTTTATTTATATTAATAAATATAAAGGTACTCCGCAACATTCTGAAGCAAACTAAGCATAAAAGGATAAGGTTTTTTGTGTTATTATTTATTATTATTTCACTTGACTAAATCCTAGATTACTTAATATTTATGTTGTTGACTAGGAAGCCACATCGTACGGATCATCAATAATTAATTAAGTTATACTCCGTTGAATTTTACTCCGTATTTGGTGACAAAATTATTCTCTGGATCCGGATCCACCTTGCTAGGCGGATTCAAGTTCAAAATATACCATTTATATATTGAATGTTTATAATTTTATAAAATATAAATTGTAAATATTATAAGTATGTAAAGGTAAATTGTGAACATTCAATATATAAATTGTATATAAATTGTGTATTTTGAATACAATGCACATTACCTCATAAAGTGGAACCCGGTCTATAGTATAACAATTGACATTTGATAGTATTAGGTTGGGAACTTTTTAGAAAATTGAAATTTGACCAATCGCTATAGGCTATGGCTTGCTCTACACGCATTAGGCATTACTTATTCGCCCCATCCCAATTTAATTAATGAATTAAATCACTTTTCCAAAATCCAAATCCATTGTTAACATGTTTTACCTTCAATTAACCGTAAGGAAAGCATTGCATGTAGTCTCAACTTTTATTCATAGTCAAAATTTTAATTAGACTATTTTTTTATAACCCACATAATGAAAATAGAGTTAATAACCAAAATGGTCCCCGACTATGTCGTAATTATCAATTTGGTCATCGACTACCATTCTTATCCAATTAAGTCCTCAACTATATAATTTTTATCCAATTTAGTCCTTTGTTAATTTGATTGTTTGTTGACTGTCAAAAGTGGAGATAAAATTATAATTTTACAAGCTTTCTCCTTCCTCCCCATTTAGCAGTGCAAAACCATGCAGCAATACGCTCCGATCGGCTTCTGACCGTCAACAAATGGCTAGAAATCAAATCCTTGAGCTCTCCGATGCACAACCACTGCTTCGACACTGACATGTTTGGAAGCCGATCGGAGCTTATTGCTGCATGGTTTGCGCTACTAAATGAGGAAGAAGGAGAAAACTTGTAAAATTACAACTTTATCTCCACTTTTGACAGCCAACAAACAGTCAAATTAACAGAGGACTAAATTGAGAAAAAAATTACATAGTTGAGGACTTAATTGGGTAAGAATGGTAGTCGATGACCAAATTGGTAATTAAGACATAGTCGATGGACTATTTTGGTTATTAACTCATGAAAATATCTTATTCATAGTTGTTACATCAGGCATTTGAGTGGAGGAGTATAGATTAAGAGTCTTGGTGTACATTGGGTCAATCTTAATGTATAAGAATTATGGTTCACCAAGTTACTGATTGTACCCAATACAACTTCAAATTTATTATATAAGTTGTGTATAGTGTAAGAAACACCTTGTTAATTTACATTGTTGACTTTCTCCATAATTTGTATTTAGTTATAAAAATTCTCTATAATGTCGGTAATACTTGTATCAATATTAATAACATTCAGTAAATTGAGTATACCATACTTAGTAAGTAATACTACACCCAATTTATAGTCCATTTTTTTCCTCCACATTTTTGTAGCATGTTATGACTCAATCAAGGAAAGTGAGTAACATTTCACTGAAGCAATGATGAAAGTTGCGTTCTTGTAGTTTCGGAGTTTAGTGTAATTAGTTTCTCGCCTGACTTAAAAGTCATGATTGGAGGTGGCTCTGGATTGGATCCTTTGTGTGCATATGAAGACTAAGATATGACTATTGGGCTAATTGCATGACTCACGATTTACTTTTGTAGTAACTCTCAAGACGGGGCCTGTGAGCTTAGGATTAGTCCGAGTTAGAGCATCCACATCAATTTGTTTTTTTTTTTTGCACAAGTTTTTAGAAGCCAAATAGGAGAGAGAGGAGGGAAAGAATAAATGGAAGAAAAAGGGGAGAAAAAAAAGGGAAACAACAATGTCCAGCGGATAACTACTGGAATTTATACGTCCTCTGGGCTCGGAACGCACACGTCCCCAGCCCATTCCTAACCTTTTTCTCTCTTCTTGGGGCCCACAAAAAACCAATTCTTGGAGGAGTTAAAAATTACTTCTCTCTCCTTCTTCTCTCACATCCACCTCACCATGAACTTTAGAAAAAATCAATAAAAATTCACTAGCGTGGATGCTCTTACAATTAAACCAGTATACTTTTTTCTTAAACCATAATGGATCATAAGTAAGCCTTAACTATACGAGACACCTTTTAAGTTCATACCATACACAACCTTTTTCAAGAGATTAGGATGCATAACCACCCACAAAAATATTCTAAGTTGATGCACCTTAAGCTTCGAATCTATACACATTAAGCTGGATCAATATAAATATGGCTTTTGTAGAGAAAACCTTATAAAGAATACTGGTTGTGTTTAGGAACTGCAAAAAAAAAAAAAAAAAAAAAAAAAATGTCCTCATTTAAAGAAGCAAACTGTAAAAAATGCGCACCTTAAGAAAGAAAACCACGCACATTAATAAGGAAAACCACGCACATAAAGCTTTAGACCGACACCACATCTTAAGAAGGAAAACAATGCACCTTAAGAAAGAAAACAACGCACCTTAAAAAGGAAAACCACGCACCTTAAATTTCAACAACTGACGCACATTAAGAACACAAACCACGCATCTTAAGTTTCAACAACTGACGCACATTAAGAACACAAATCACGCACCTAAAGTTTTAAATCGACGCACTTAAGTTTCAACAACTGATGCACCTTAAGCACACAACACAAAAACTACGCATCTTAAGAAAGAAAACCACGCACGCACCTTAAATTGACCTAAATGCAATACCAAATTGTCACCGCATTTTTTTAAATTTAATCCTGGACGTTGATCTTGACAAGATCAATGACTCTCATCTCATCCTACAATCACACCTCAAGTAGCCAATTGCACGGAACCTATATATAATATATTGAAAACAAACTAGTAACGTATACTTTTTTCTTTTTTCTTTCTGAAAATCATTAGTAACGTATACTTTTTTTGAAGGTATACTTAATTCTACCTAATATCTAACATTATGTCATGTCTAATTTTGCGTACAAGGCACACGGTATATATAAATGTTGCGACCAGGTTTTATATAGAAATGATAAATACAGCGAGAGTGGAGACGAATTGTCAACGGAGAAAAAGAATAGTAGCGACGCCACTGCGACCACCCACACTCTGCCACACCCCCACTCCCTGCCAATCGCCTTCCCCCACGTGCTTCACCGCGTCATTACCACCCGCTAACTGTTAATGGTCCATTAAGGCTCGTCGTTGAAGGTATCCCACTCTTACACCGCCGTTCACACCTTCTTGCTCGCTACTCTTCCTTCTCTTATTGGTTTTTCTGAATCTTCAACTCCTTCTTGCACTTTTTCCTGCGCCTTTATAAATACAGCTACTGCGGGCGCCTTTGTTTTGACTTTAGTTCTTAGCCTGTCTCGTTTTCCTCCTCCTTCTTCTGCTATTTTCTGGGTTTTAAGGTACGCTTCTCAATTATCCGTGGAACAAAGAGTGGATAAAGTTACCCAACTTGTTGTTTCTCTTCATGTGAGGTTCCTGTGGTGTTGGGCGTGTTCAAGTTTCCGTCTTTATTATATTATGTGATGTTTTATTACTGATCGAGTGCTCGGAGTTTTATCTTGATTGACTGAATTTCCATTCCAATTCAGTCGAATCCTTCTCCGTTTTTGCTATGTCTATGATCTTTGATGTCAATTGAAGACTTGAATTTAAGCGTTAAGTGTTTTCTTTTGTGATTGTGAGGGCTTAGGGTTTTGGACTTGAGCTAAATTGCTGGTTTTTAGTTTAGTATTCCCTAATTTTTATGTATTTGTGTTTATGGACTTGCAGTTTTGCATGTTATCCTTTATTTTTTGTTAATTCGCACTACTAATTCTTGGAGGAATTATGTTACTATAGTGAATTGCAGAAGTATATTTTTCTATTAGATTTAGCATTATTCTTTTGGTTGTTCTTTCTTACTGTAAAGTGTCTGCAAACTCAAACTGATTAGGATGAATTTGCAGTGAGGACCTGGAGATTTAGATATTTTTAACCAGAATGCATATTTTTTCTTGGTTTGGCATATCTGTTAATGATATTTATGAAGTTGGGAATACTTTCTGTTTTTGCAAAATGTCATTGTTTTCCCCCACACCAGTTTGGTTTTATTCTCTGTTCCTTATATTCCCACTATGGATACAGGTTTCTTGCACATATATATGGATCCTCGATTCACTGGGTTGCCCGACTCTGTAAGCAGTTTCAAGGTGGAGGATGAGTTCTTTTTTTCTAGCTTTCAGCAATCTCAGGATATTATTCCTAACAATTATTTGGATGACTCTCTACCTCTGGATTTCATGGCTGTCCCTTTGAATCCTTTGATTACTCCCAGTCCCGAGACTGGCTATTTTCCTCCACCTGCAGAGTTGGACTCCCCAGATGATCAGGATGCCGATCCTGTGCTCAAGTACCTTAACCAGATTCTATTGGAGGAGAACATCGATGAGAAGCCCAGTATGTTCCATGATCCAATTGCTCTTAAAGCTGCTGAGAAATCATTCTATGAAGCCCTTGCTAAGGGCCCTCCTTCACCTTATCATACAGAAAGCCCCGACAGCTTATTTGGGAATTCCTGTGAACCCAGTACAAGCAGCAGTACGATTGGTAGCAGTAACACCGACCCTCTGTGGATAGTTGAACCCGGAGAATCGAAATCATCTTTTGCGAGCTATCCTCCTTTCCATTCTTCTTTCGAAACCACCTCTGAGAGGTCAAATGGTTCTTTAGATGGTTTTGGGGGTAATATGAATGTCCAAATGGACTCTCTTTCAAATGCGAATGTGCTCGCAAACATATTTACCGACACAGACTCCATACTGCAATTCAAGAGAGGAATGGAGGAAGCGAGTAAATTCCTCCCCGCTAGTAATCAGTTGGTTATTGATTTAGATCAATACTCGTTGCCCCCAAAGACAGAGGAGTTGCCTCGGGATACTCTCATCAAGGCAGAGAATATCGAGAGGGACAGTTCACATAATTCCTCGAGAGGAAGGAAGCATCACCATCTAGAGGACGATGAATTTGAAGAAGAGAGGAGTAGCAAGCAATCCGCAGTTTACGTGGAAGAGGAGTTATCCGAGCTTTTCGATAAGGTTTTGCTGTGTAATCCTAACGAGTGTGCCTTGACTAATCGTCCTCCTCCTTCTGAAGTCGACAAGGGCGTGCCAAACAGTGGGAAAAGCCGTTCAAAGAAACTGGGAGCCACAAACGAAGCCGTAGATCTAAGGACTCTTTTAATCAGCTGTGCACAATCCGTTGCTGCTGATGATCGCAGGACTGCAAACGAGCAACTAAAACAGATCCGGCAGCACTCTTCGCCTAACGGCGATGCCAACCAGAGGCTTGCAAATGTGTTCGCAAATGGTCTCGAGGCACGGCTGGCTGGCACCGGGACCCGCCTCTATGCGGCCCTAGCCCCGAAAAGGATCACGGCTTTCGAGAAGTTGAAAGCATACCAGGCTTACATGTCAGCATGCCCGTTTAAGAAGATAGCAATGATGTTTGCAAATAAAATGATTTACAAAATATCCTTGGGAGCTCCGACACTACATGTCATAGATTTCGGTATTCTTTACGGTTTTCAGTGGCCCATCCTTATCCAGCATCTTTCAAGCAGGCCCGGTGGCCCCCCTAAACTTCGTGTTACTGGAATCGATCTTCCTCAACCTGGTTTCCGGCCAGCAGAAATGATAGAGGAGACTGGGCGCCGATTGGGGAAGTATTGTGAGCGGTTTGGTGTACCATTCGAGTACAATGCTATAGCAACTCAGAATTGGGAGACGATTAAAATCGAAGATTTGAAGCTCGTGAGCGGTGAGGTGGTTGCTGTGAACTGTTTGTATCGGTTTAAAAACCTGCTCGACGAGACGGTGGCGGTTGACAGCCCCCGCGATGCGGTTCTAAGCCTAATCCGGAAAATCAACCCGAGTATTTTCGTGCACGCTGTCATAAACGGATCTTACAGCGCTCCTTTCTTCGTTACTCGGTTCCGGGAGGCTCTCTTCCACTTCTCCGCACTCTTTGATATGTTTGACGCCACAATCCCCCGCGACGATCAGCATAGGTTTCATTTCGAGCAAGAATTCTACGGGCGCGAGACGTTGAATGTGATTGCCTGCGAGGGCGTAGAGCGGGTCGAGAGGGCTGAGACTTACAAGCAATGGCAAGTGCGGACTATGAGGGCCGGGTTCAAGCTTCTTCCGTTGAACCCGGAGCTGATGACCAAACTGAGCGAGAAGAAGGGTGCGGGATACCACCGAGATTTCTTGTTCGATGAAGATGGTAAATGGATGCTGCAGGGATGGAAGGGCCGGCTTATTTGCGCTAGCTCCTGTTGGGTACCTGCATAGAAAATTTTTGAAGTGGTTAACTATTCTGAGAATCTAAGGAGAAGAATCAAGTTGGTGTTGATGCCTCAATTTCTCCCATGATTTGCCTAGTACTTGACTTTTTGTCTGCTGCAGGTTGATGTGTTTAATGTAGAAATTATCTGATCTGTTTGTAAAACATCATAGTATTAGTAGCTGTTATATACCACTCCAGGCGTGTTTGATGCTTTGTTGCTTCATCCCTGTACACGCCCAGTGGAGAAAACAATAAATTTTGTTTGCCCAGAAATATTACTCTAATCAACTAGTTTGTTATAGTATTTCTTTTGTCCCACTAGTAAGATGTAAGCAACTGTTTATCATTCTGCAGACATTAAAAAAACATCATATTTATATGTAAGTGTAAATGTGTAATGATGCATTTACGAAATTACCCCTATACACCTTACATAATGGTATATTTACAAAATTATCCCTATATGCCCACTTAGCAAATCCAATTCAGATTCAAATCTTGAATCGTGTTATAACTCTATTACAATGTAGTATCTGTTCATAACTACTTTCTCAACCTACTGAAGCATAGAGAGCCAATAACGCCTACACTGAGGCTTGAACTCACAACCTCTTATATAGGAATCCAACCAGAGTGCCATCTGTTCATATTTAGTTAATACAGTTTAGACTATTTATTGATTTAATACAGGCTATTGAGGTTTCACGTGGGCGTTGAATGTGTAGTTGGAGCCAATTAAAAGTAGTTTGAATGCGGAAAAAAGCTACTAATAAAAAGGTTAACATTGACTGAGTGTCTGAAACACTCACACTATTATTAATTATTGCAATTTTTCCTCCATAAAATTACTAATAATAATTCGTAAAATGAGGCATTCCTGCCGGTGATGGTGTTAGAAATGAGGCAATGATTGTTTCTTTTGGTGCGAAAGTGGCCATGAATTGATGCCCACAAGGGCTTTTACCTCTGTTTCCAAGAAAACATACAAGGTTTGGCTTGACAATGATTCTTTTGTCATCAACAAAGTAGTATGTATTGTCTTCATGCATAATGTCGCTGGTCAACATAAAAACCCATATTCAACTTGATTACATCTACCCTCTTTCTCTCTTCAATTATGGCCATCTTGATCAGTTGACCCCATCCAAACCTCTGATCAAAGCTGGAGTCTTGTTCAAGAATCAAGAATGCTTTTGTGTTGGTAGTTCTGTAGTTTAATTTGCTTTTGTTGTTAATTAGGTTTAGATTGGTGAGAAGTTGCAGTGATGGATCGTTTTGATTCAGGTGATGATGATGGGTCAAATTACAATCATCAATTTACTTCATCATCATCATCTTCTTCTTCTGGTGATGTTTCAATCGAATCGTCATCTTGTGGTGGCGATGATTCAACTCCTCTGGAGCGAGATTACTTTGATGGGGTTCTCAAGTACATCAACCAGATGTTAATGGAGGAAGAGGATTTGGAGAATCGGCCCTGCATGCTTCAAGATTCCCTGGCGTTGCAGGCCGCCGAGAAGTCCTTCTATGAAGCCCTAACGGACTGCAATTTCTCTGAAACAAATAGGAAGAGAGATAGCTATGGCGATGGAGATTTGGAAGCTGGGAGAGATAGCAAACAGGTTGCGGGATCCACGGCGGAAGAACCGGAGCAAACTGAGATGTACGATAAAACACTGCTCTGTTCTGCAAATAATCCTGGCTTCTACAGTGATCCGCCATGGTGTCATCTTGATCATTCGACGGAACAAAAGCGGAGATTCAAGCCGGTTAATGATGTCCGGTCAAGACGAGGAAGGCCGCGCGCCGGCGAGAACCGTGTCATCGGGCCCGGTAAACCAGTTGATCTGAGGAGTCTTTTGCTTGAATCTGCAGTGGCGGCGGCGAACTATGACGGCCGGACGGCAACTCACCGGCTGAACCTCATCCGGCAGCACAGTTCTCCTCACGGCGACGCCGCCGAGAGAACCGCCCACTACTTCGCCAACTCCCTGGAGGCGCGCCTGGCCGGAACGGGACCGGAGCTATACACATCTTTCTCCCGGCGGCGGAGAATGTCGGCGGCGGAAGTGCTGAAAGCCTATCAGGCTTACGTCACCGCGTGTCCGTTCAAGAAAATGTCCAACATATTCGCGAACAAGACGATCGGGAAACTCACCGGGAAAGCCACGGCGATTCATATTATAGATTTCGGCATTCTATACGGATTCCAATGGCCGTGCTTCATCCAGGGAATCTCCCTCCGCCCATCCGGCCCGCCAAAGCTTCACATTACCGGCATAGATTTTCCCCAGCCCGGTTTCCGGCCGGCCGAGAGAGTGGAGGATACCGGCCGCCGCCTCGCGAATTACTGCAAGCGGTTCAATGTCCCATTCGAGTATACCGCCATAGCCAAAAAATGGGACACCATTAGTTTGGATGAACTAAACATGGATAGGGATAGGGATAGAGAGGAAGAAGTATTAATCGTGAACTGTTTATACAGGCTGAAGAACACGCCTGATGAAACATTAATCCTGGATAATAGTCCCCGGGACACAGTTCTAAACCTGATTAACCAAATAAACCCGGATTTCTTTATCCATGGAGTCATAAACGGCACATATAACTCATCCTTTTTCACCTCAAGATTCAAGGAAGCTCTAT